TGTTTTTATTTAATTTCACCATTGGCTCAGATCACCACTATAGCAATACATATCTTCATCAGTTTTTTCTTGCTCATCAAAAATATTACATTTTGTAGACATATCAGAGTAAAGTTGCTCCATCCAATCATTGGTGTTATCTTTTTGATCTTCCTTATCATCAATAAGTTCTAAAAGCTCCATAGGATAAAATCTATCTTGTCTTCTATGTCGAAATCTTTCAATAATGCAGTGAAGAAATGGATATCTCAATCTAATTCTATGACGCGCATAAAAATGAGCAGCAACGCTCACATTAAACGGGAAACGCAATTTTCCATATGATTTCAGAGAAGTTGCTCCTTGTCTTGATAAGCCTCCTATAACGAATATTTTTTTAAACCCATTCTTATCTTCATAGGTTGTCTGGACTTTTCGTCCAAGGAGCTCTTTCAAAATTAGTACACGATTGTCTGGGTGATTAAGTTGATCACGCAAAGATTTTACAGAACAGTTTAAAATGCTAGCACATTCGTCAGAAACTTTTTGGAATGGCATTATTAATAGTTTAATTATATTATTAAAGTGAGGACGAATAAATTTTTTTCCGAGAGTTTGCTCCTTATATACCCTAGCTCCTACCTAATATTACTCTTACACTTATATATTTCGAAATTTTTTTAAAATTTATTTTTAAATATTTTTTACATAAATATTTGCATATTTTTCTATTTTTTCCCTTAATCCTTTTCTTGAGATGAACGTTTTTTACTTTATCGGCGCTCTTTGATGTTTATAATAGGCTAAATGAGCGAAATGTTATAATAAATTATGGATCTGTAAAGGAAGGAGTTATAATTTAAAAGATTAAATTATTTGAATATTTTTTTATAAAAATATTTGTATATATTTCTATTTTTCTGTTAATCCTTTTCTTGAGTGTTCTCGGATGAACGTTTGTTTTTTGTCGGCATTCATGATATTTACAATAAGTTAAATGCGCGAAATTCTTATGGATTCGGGCGTGGATATGATACAAGGATTGGAAAATTTTGCGGTAACAGTTATTATATTTTTTTCTTAAAAATTTTTTTTGCTCTTAATTTGAAATAATGGACAACACTAGAAAACGTTCTAGTGACAATCAATCTCCAATAAAAAATAAAATTGAAAAACTTAATAATGAACAACGTTTTCTCGAACTATTAAACAATATTAAAAAAAATATTGAGAAAGAGGAGAAGAAAACTTATAGGAAACGATCAACTAGCATTCACGATTTCCGCTTACAAAATATTACTCCTTCATACGATCAACTATTTCGTATGTATTTGTTTGGTACTAAACAACGTAATGAGTATATACTGAATCGTAAGCTTTTTAAATTCAAAAACTTAAAAAAAATTTCTTAGTTGAAAAGGAGCTCTGTAAATTTTATGAATGTACAGAAAATCATCATAATTGTGGTAAAATGGAAAAACAACAAATAAATCGTGTTATACTGCCTTTCGATATGAAGAAATTTAAAAAGGCGCAATCAATTAAATTCTTTGAAGAAGAAACTTGTATTATTTGTACTGTAAATCCTCCAACAGTTTTCCATTATGCGTGTAGACATTGTTATATATGTTATGGATGTGCTCGAACTAATAAAACTAGACGAACATTAGTTCTATTATATGGTTCAGATAAGGAGATAGAAGAACTGGGACCAATGCGTTGTGCTATGTGTAACTTACATAAAGGTGAATATCAGCGAATAAAGAGCATGAATCATTCTTAATAAATATCCTTCACCTCTTTAAAATACTATTTTGTAATATTTCTTAATACTACATTAATTAACTCTTTTATCTTACAATTAACCATAACTCTTTTTTTTATCTTTTACCTTACCATTAACTCTCTTATTTAACTCTTTTACCTTACCACTTAGCTCTTTGAATCATGAGCTCTTTTAATTACTCTATTTTACCACACCACATAGCTCTTTGAATTACTCATTAGCTAAATTACTCACTTACTAAATTACTCACTCCTTAAATTCTCATCTTTTAATTACTTTATATTTTCGTGCTCTTATTATTTTTGCTCTCATAATATTTGAATGAAATAATGAAAAATTTGTCTTTAATTTTTGGTAAAAATACTAAGGAGAAAGAGAATATTAATTTTTAATAGGGAAGGAGCTCTCTTTTAATTTAGTGTAGTGTACAAGTGGTAAAAGTTCTGGACATGTCATTCAGCATGTCTCGACGAGCTCTCCACTCCGTACTTTAGGAAATGAGTTATACAAAAACCATACAGGAGAAAGCTCAATTTTAGGTGAAGTTCGAAAGAGATTCGAAAGAGCTTCTCAAATTTAGTCGAAAGACACCAAAATTCTCGGAGAAAAAAATTTTTCTAAACAATTTTTGGAATACAAAATAAAATAGTAGTAGCAATTACAAATTTATTTATCATAAAGAAAATTACAACAAAACAATAAGAATTTTAATTAAAGGATTGATTATATATTTATTTTTTCCTCATTTGGATTATACTTCAACAAATGTTTGTCTACAAACCATCACACATAGCCTAAAAATAGAAAAAAATTATTTTTTGTAAAATATAAGGAGCACCTTTTCTTTTGCAATATAGAACAATCCTAACAGCTTTTGTTTGCCATTATTCTATTATTACTACTGACGTTGTTTTTCGACGCCGCGCCTTGCTGAGGGAAGAGTTGATCCGGATTAATTGCTGACAACGTACCATAGCCTTTCTCATTTGCCCGAACTTTCTCTGTTGGCCAATCTGTTACGTGATTTTTTTAAAGTTAAAATATATACCAGACCAACTTTACGTAGAAAAAAGCCTCTAGCAATTTATTTAAATACCCATTTCCAGCAAATTAGGCCAATTTATAACATTTTTGGAAGAAAATTTTTTTATAATTTTTTTATTCCAAATTTGAATCAACAAAACAATAGAACAGTCACCAAACATAGAAAAAAACACTTTTCTTTTTTTCTCTTATATCAAAAAAATATATTTAATTTTTATATTTTTTATTCTCTTCTCTTTTTTATATTCTTCCTTCTCCTTAATTTTTTTAGATCAACTCCCCAATTTCAGCCGGCATTTCTTCAATTTGGGTTGAAGAGTATGACTCAAGTTCTTTAAGCATTTGTTGATCCTATTAAAAGGGGACTTTATTTTTAAAAAAATTTTAGAAAAAAATTTTCTTTCAAAAACTCACACTTTTGGTGACGAAATTGATTGCAACTCCTTTACGTCCAAAACGTCCAGAACGACCAATACTGAGAAAAAAATATTTTTAAGGACTTGAAAATATTTTTAAGGGCTCAAAAGAAATTTTTATATTATTTAGGATTAGTGTTTCTTACATTTTAAGTAATTTTTCAAAATAAAAATCAATTTCTCCAAGAAGGGGGTTCGAACCCATGACCTTTTACTAAAAATCCAAACATTTTCCCACTACACCAAAAAATGAAAAATACCTAAGGATATAGTTCTCTCGATTTCCAGGCAGATCATAGTTTATCACAACAGAAACTTGTTGAACATCAATTCCTCGTGCCAACAAATCGGTAGTAATTAATACACAGGAAGAGCCAGATTGGAACTCGCGCATAATCAAATCTCGTTCAGACTGTTCCATCTCTCCGTGCTGAAAAAAATTTATTTGAAGAATTTAAAAAAGGGAACGAGAGAAAATTGATACTTTTAGGTTATTTTACTAAAACGAAAAAAATTCAACGAGAGGACTCGAACCACGACCTCAATACACCCAAAACAAAACATTATACCACTACACCAAAAATTAAAAAAATACAGGAGATGCTGTAAACTAAAAAATTTTTCTTTTTGATTTTAAAATAAAAACAGTATTGGTTAAATTAGATATAAATAAATAATAAATCGGAAAAATTCATAAATCAATTCATTTAATATATTGTCAATCTTATAAACAAAAGGCTTTGACAAAAGATCATTTCCAAAATTAGTTTCCACTGAACAAGACAAAAGTCCAATTAATGGATACAAATCAACAAATGCATGCCGCTTTGGAAGCTTCGATAGCTCTGGCACGTCGGTTTTTCTTTTTCTGAGCTCCTGATGCCTGAAAAAAAAAAGATATACCAAGGTATAGCAAGTAAAAGACGCCTTAGTCCTTCCCAGAGTTTACTCAGGCCCGGTATTCAGGTCCCACTCCGGTCCGATTTACTCAGGCCCGGTATTCAGGTCCCCCGGTCCGAGTTTACTCAGGCCCGGTATTCAGGTCCCACCCCGGTCCGATTTACTCAGGCCCGGAATTCAAGTCCCCCGGTCCGAGTTTACTCAGGCCCCCCGGTCCGAATTTACTCAGGCCCGGTATTCAGGTCCCCCGGTCCGAGTTTACTCAGGCCCGGTATTCAGGTCCCACCCCGGTCCGATTTACTCAGGCCCGGAATTCAAATCCCCCGGTCCGAGTTTACTCAGGCCCCCCGGTCCGAATTTACTCAGGCCCGGTATTCAGGTCCCCCGGTCCGAGTTTACTCAGGCCCAGTATTCAGGTCCCCGGTCCGAATTTACTCAGGCCCGGAATTCAAATCCCCCGGTCCGAGTTTACTCAGGCCCGGTTTTCAGGTCCCCCTCCGGTCCGAGTTTACTAAACCCTGTAAAAGCCCAAGTAATCTTAAACTTGCCTTTCCCCTTCTGCGTATTTTTCCAGTTTGTGTTGCAATTTCTCTGGATGCTGTTGTTGATTCATCGTTTACCTCATTCAATGAACTTTCAATTGTTGCAGATTGTTGAGACAAATCATTATTTTCCACCTGCTCTTCTTCATCGTCGACACCACCGGTTTGAGGGCCAGGCGAAGAAGGACCAACATCTTTAAATAAAAATAACAGCTCAATTAATGATAATTTGAGATTTAAGTTTTAACTCACTTGAGCCAGGAAGAGAAGCACCACCCGCAGCAGATTTCACACCTCCAAGAGCTGTCATCGTCCCGCCACACCCTCCACCAATTAGAGCAGTTGCCGTTCCAGCAGGAGCAGTCTGCATACCAAAGCCTCCAAGAGCAGTTTGAGTACCTCCCATTCCGCCAAGAGACGTTGAAGTGTCTCTACTGCCATAGCCAACAAGCGTCGTTTGGAAAAACTAAAAAAATTTTTCAAAAAATTTTTAAATTAAAAAATATTAACTAAAATTTTTGAAAAAATTTTTAAAAATTTTTAAAAAATTAAAATTACTTCATTTTCCTCCTCCTCTTCTTCAACGCCACCAACGGTTTGAGGACCAATTGAAGAAGCACCAACATCTTTAAAGGCTCAATTAATGATGGTTTGAGATTTAAGTTTTAACTCACTTGTACCAGCAAGAGAAGCACCACCTGCCATGCCTCCAAGAGCTGTCATCGTCCCGCCACACCCTCCACCAATTAGAGCAGTTGCCGTTCCGGCAAGAGGAGCACCAGCAAGAGCATTCAACTAAAAATATTTTCAAAAAATTTTTTCAAAAATTTTTTCAAAAAATTTTTTCAAAAATTAAAAAATAATTCAAAATAGGGATATCTGAGAGAGATTTGGGCTCAAACACTTGGAAGGGGAGTAAAAAACATTTTGCCAAATTTAACCATTTTTAAACAAAACTATTCATACCTCAGAGGAGCAACCATTTAATTGTTTTTCTACTTCATTATCTCTTCCTTCTCCTCTCTTCCCAACAATTTTCTCATTTTTATTTAAAAATTCGTTTTCTTCATTTTGTTGTTCATCTTCTCCAATACTTCCAACTGTAGAAGAACCCCCTTCCTCTAAATTAATAAAAGGATCTCTTTCTTCTCTTCCTTCCCCTTCTTTGCAATTATTTTCAATATTTACTGGTTGAACAATTGAAAATTCGCTACTAGTTAATGGAAGTAAAGATGGAGAAGATGGATTTGTTGAAGTAATTAAATTTATTGAAGAAGAAATATTGTTGTTGTTGCTGGTGGTTTCCTTGTTGATGAAAAGTTTGAATTCCTTATCTTTATATTGAAAAATTATTTTAGAATTTAATCATTTTTTGGGAAAAAATAATTTTTTACGTGGGGTAGGGGCATATTGTTTTTGTAATTTAGTTGTTGTTGTATTTATAATTATATTTTTTTGTTGTTTTTGTAATTTACCATTCTTACGAGGAATAGGTGATTGTTGTTGTTTTTGTAATTTTCTTTTAAATTTTTGCTGTGGAGGTCCAAATATTAATAAAATTTCCTCTTCAGTTTTTTCTTAATTAAAAAATTTTTCTTTAATAGTTTTAAGAAACTTACTATGGACATTTTTATAATGCCGTTTGCAGTTAAATTTACTGGTAAATGGCTTTTTACAATACATACATAAAAACCCAAAATTTTTAACTCTTCCAGTAATAACATTCTCACGCAAAGCCTTTTTCTTCCCCTCTTCTTCAACCTTATTTTTAACCTTATTTTTAACTCTTCCAGCTCTAGTAGTAAGAACATTCTCATGTAAAGCCTTGTTTCTTCCCTCTTCTTCAAACACTATTGCTCGCCAGTTCTAAATTTTATTGAGTAAGAAAAAAAACTCAAAAAACCTCAATTAGAGCTCTACAACGTTTTGACAATTTCTCGTCTTCAACTTTTTTGCGAAACATATTCAGAGCAAGTCCAAGACGAGTTTCCTTTAGAAGAAAATAATCAAAAACAAAAAAAAGACATACAGTTAAAATAGAAATATTGACAGACATTTTCTCTAAAACCTCGATTAAATCATTTGCAGATTGAAGTTGAAAGTTCTAAAAATCAAAAATGTTTTCCTGGAGGGGGGATATTTGGTAATAGTTCGGATGGCATATGGTCATCCCAGGAATAATTAAAAATTATTTAACCTGTTCTTCACTCATCTTTATTAATTGATTTGAAATTTCTAATAAATTAGTTGTGGAAAAAGATGCAATTTCAAATCGAGGAGATTCAAGAGAAGGATTACACAAGATTTCAGGTGAAATTTGAAAGCCTAATTTTGAAATTAAATAGCATAAATAAATTTTTAATCAAAAATTTATTTGACCTTGTTGCACGGCAGCCACAAGCTTAAATAATATTTTTATAGTAAATAACAATATTTCTAGTAGTCACGTCCTATTACGACCCTAATATAGACATTAAATCCTTTGATAAGATTTGTAAAGGTGCAAAAGTACATTTAAATTTTAAACAAAATACCTTAAAACACATAAAAATGCCCAATTTGTTTAGAAATCCACGCTTTACAAAGCCACTCGATTTACAAGCTGCTTTCCAAATCTAATTTAATGTTCAAAGAATGAATGTGTGATTGAATCAAAACCTGAGAAAGCTGCGCCGTATTAACATCTTTAGCAGTTCTTAGAAAAGCAGCAATACTGGTTGAATCGATTTCATCTTTGCCCATCGGATTCAGCTAAAAATTAACTAAAAATTAAGGAAAACAATAGGTAAGCAAGAAGCAAATTTCCCTTGGCCATTAAATGACAGAAATTAACCTTGGAAAATAAATCTTCATAGAGAGATTGATGAGGATTTGAAATATTCTCTGGATTCTGCATAAGAATTATTAAGTGGTAAAGTAGAATAATCAACAGTTCAACAGTGAACCCCTAAAAATTAAAAATAGACCGAATAAAATACAAATATGTAAAATGTTTGAAAACATTAAAAAATATAGTCGTATGTAAATGGTCTTCTTGTTACTGACCAACAAAATCAATAAGTGGGAAGAAAAAATGTATTGAAGAGAAGAAAAATATGTGGTAAACTTTTCTTCTCACCATTTATTGATTAATTTTAGTAGAAGGAGCTGTAAGAGAGAAAAAAGGTTGTTGGAGAAAAAACAGAGCGAGAAAAAAAAGAGTAGTGAGAAATGAGAGAGGGAGGGGGAAACGATGTGGGGGAAGAGAGAGAGAGGAAAAAAAGATGTCTTCAAAGGATGTCGTTCCCCGACGTCCCTCCTAATCCCCTCCTAATCCGCTGTTAATCCACCGACGTAACCCTATCTAATCCCCCGACATCCCCCTACTGCTAACTACTTAGGAGTATCTGGTATTGGTTGTAATACTTATATAGTACTCTCTGTTTTTGAAGGAATTCCTTTACGTAATTTATTTTCCCATTAAATTCCATAATTTTCCCAGTTTAAGATTTTTTCTCTTGATTAAAAAAATTTTTTTTATATAAATAGGAAGGCGTAGAAGACCGCAAAACAACAACAATAATTCTAGAGGAAGTTATACTCAAGGCAGGGAACAGTCTAAGCAAATAATTTAAATAATTTTTTGTTGAGATTAAAAAAAAACTTTAATTTTTTTTAAATATTTATTGAGGGACTTTTTGTTTTTTAAGACTAGGATGTATTTATATTTAAATTCTTGTTATTAATTTTAAATAGAGACAGAAAATTGTAGATTGAGCGAGATTTGATGAGGATGATTTTAAAAAATTTTGATTCTTAATACTTAAATTTTTTAAGATATCTCAGTTCGATCTCTAATAATTTTCATTGCATTTTAAGAGAAATTTTTTCTTTCAATAGGCAAAAGTGCAGGGAATGTTTTTCTAATTATTTATTTCCTCCTTTAAAAGCTCTTAATTAAAGTTTTCTGGATCAATTTATTAAATTAAAAAATATTTTTTGTAAACTCTGATTTTTCTCAAATCGTTTTAAAAATATGTAGATATTCAAAATTAGACCCAGAATTCTTTTTTTTTCTTTCTTCATAATTTTAATTTATAACGGATGCGCGCAGTTTATCTTGATTAATATCAAAGGAGAAACGAAATAGGATCACGAAAAAAATTTCGACTATAGAATCGAGATTTTTTGAGACATCTTTCCCTAATCTTTCTAATTTTTATCAGAAATTTCCGCGACATCTGAATATTTATTTTATGTATTTTCACACCGGGTCCAATTTTAATTTTTCTTCTAAATTTTTTAGTTTAAGTTTTCTAACAAATTATTTAAAAAATATTTTTAAAAAATATAAACTAAACTTTCTTTAAATTTTTAATTGTAATTCCTAAATTTCTATTGTAATCTTTTATTATCACTCAATTTTGTTGCGAAATAATTTATTTTTGTGACTAAAAAATTTTAGAAAAAAGGGATATTCTTTTTTGACAACAGAGATTCTTTAAAAATCAAGAATTTTTTAATAGTCTTTCCCCTCCCTATATTATTCTTTTCTGTAATCTCGACAGACTGAGTGATAATTATGGACATGAAATATTCTCTCATTCTTTCGAATTTTTTTTTCTGATTTTATACATATATTTTACCTTTTTTATGCTGCCACATTTTTTTCACTTTTTTTTTAAATTTTTTAATTAATAAAAATTATTTTTAAAATAATTTTTGACACAAAAAATGTTTAAAAATCAAAAATATAATGGCTTTTCAATTAGAGATCGGAAATTTTGAAAAGCCTGGTTTGATTTCTTGACCTGGAATGGATCCTGGGCCTGTAATCCAAAAAAAACCCAGGCCCAGGAAAAACCCAGGAAGGCCAAAAAATGCCTGGACTCTGGGTACAGGAAAGACCCAGGCCTTAGTCCAGACCCAGGCCGATCTCTAATTTCAATAATTCAGACAATATAATTTTCATTCCACACTTTCAATACAAGGTCAATTTCTCTCAAAACTTCTGGAATACTTTCCAAAACATCAGAAGCTTGCATTGAACGCCCAACTCGCTAAATTTTTGCTTTTAAATTAAGAAAAATTTTTTTAGTTTACTTGATAAGCATAAAGCGAAGCTTTTCGTTGAAGTTGGGAAGCTGCTAAAGCCCCAATCATTAAATCATTAGTTAAATATTGAGAATTATTGTTTTCCTTTGTATTTTTGAGTCTTTTAAGTTTCGCCCAATACGAACAAAGTGCAATTGCTCCACCAAGAATGTCTCCTAAAAATTTAAATTTCTCAAAAATGAACTGACAAAGATAGTGGACCCCGAATTCCTATTACGAAACGATGTTTGTTTTCTTACAAAAATGACGCTAGGCTAAGTTATAGCCACTCAAAATTTGGATCTTTGGGATGGGATGACATGAGTGAAATTTAGACAATTTTTGGCATTTAAAAAATTTGTTAAATCTAACAAAATGTCCCGATCTTATTTGAAATTTTCACCCTTTAATCTATTTTCTCACTTCCCGCCTCCCTTGATTACCCCCCCCCCCCCCACCTCTTCTAAAAAAATTTCTTAAATTATTTAAGAAAATACAGATATGTATCTAAACATAAAATAATTTTAACCTTGCCCTCCACAACGTCTCAATGAAGTTTCAGAATCTTCAATCATCAATTCATTCCCATCACTAATAATATCCTTTTCGCCTAAAAAGTAAATTCTAAAAATTATATTAAAAACAATTAAATACCTTTCCGTATAATAACAATCCCCAAAATTGCAGCCAATTCTTTAACATGTTCTCGAATATTTTTTTCATCAATTTGCTTTTCGGGAAATACTTTAGAGTAAAGACGTTCAAATTCTGAAAAAGAAATTATTTTTTAAGGAAAAGAAATAAAAGATTGAGAAATCAATCCAGAAAATTCGTCCAAAAAAGAAAATAATTTCACCTAGAAATTTCGAAATTTTTTTCCGAAAGGAAATTTTTAAAAAAATAGGAAACTTAAAGCCTTAAACTTAAAATTAAAAGCTTTTTTTCGTCTGTTTTACCTCTTAACTAAAATCAATTACAATATAAGCCTAATTTTTGGTAGTTGAAGAAAGAAATGAAAATGAGGCCCCTAAATTTCAAAATTCCTAAAAAATAAAACCTCTGTAATTTGGAGTTATTAGAAGATTATTTCGGCAATCACCAAGAGAAAGTTCTTTAAAACAATCGTTTAAATAGAAAAGTCCATCAGCGTCTATAACCACACAAATCTAGAGAAATAATAAATTGAGTTAAAATTTGACAAAAAAATCGAACAAAGTCGGACTCCAATATAAGCTAACCCCAATACTAGATACACTCAAACTAACAATTGATACATTTTTTAAATTTATTTGACCAGAAGATTGGGGGAGCCGTTAAAAATTCCCCTTATTATTCCAAAAGGATTCCACTTATTATAAATTTTTCAACCCCAAGGGTTCATCTTAAAATAAAGTTTGAGTTACTAAAAAACAAAAAATTTATTCATACTTTTGGTGAATTCCTCGCAAATTCAACGATTCCCCTCAACAATTCTTTGGTGTGCTGTTCTCTGCCCAATCCTGGACCAAATACAAGAGCATCCAACTTTTCTAAACTAATACGATTTTTTGCGAGATCTGTGGTTGGATAAACCTTTAAAAAATTATAAAAATTAGAACAAAATTTGTCGCGAAGCGACTAAGGATGAGGAAAATAAAATAAATATATTTTTATAATTTTAATTCTAAATTAATCATCATTTTTTGCAAATTCCTTTTTCGGACTTTCACCTGGCTAAAAATCATTTTTTGTTGTAAACATCTATTCAAACTCTATTTACATTTTTAGTCCTTTTGTTCTAAAACTTAACTTTATTTTTCACTCTTTTGTATCATTCAAAACATGTGCATTTTTATTTAATCGTTCCTATTATGCCTTTAATGATCGAAATATTTTCTGTCTACCCGCCTATTTTTCTGGCCTATATAATCTCCCCTTCCAAACCCCAATTTAGCGCTTTCGTTCGCAGCTTCTTTCTGGGTTAGCTAGCTTTCTCATTAGCTCATTCTGTCTGGCTTGCTTCTCTTGGTTTTATAGCTCTGGTTCTTGTGGCCTTATCATTAATTTACTTGTTGGATTTTAATTGTGTGAAATAAACTTATTACTATTTGTTTGGCTTTTATTTGGTGTTCTAATTCCTTGGCCAATTGTGTTGGAATCTTTTGGCCTAATCCAAGCAAGCTTTTGCTGAATCTTTTGTTGGTGGTAAACCCTTGGCCAATTGTGTTGGAATCTCTTGGCCTAACCCTGCCTTTTTTCGGAATAGTTTATTGGCTCTATTTTGCTATATATTTTTTGGTGCAACGGCCGGGAACCAGGCCGCCTACAATTTGCTACTTGTGTTCTAAATTTGGTTGGGAAGTGCTAGGCAAATGTCCGGAAGAATTAGACGAAACCTGAACGCTGCCTTGAAAACCATTCAAGAGCATACTGCCGAGGCCAATCGAATTATTGCTGAGGAAAATGATGAGGATACTCGCAGAAAGCTGAAGCTGGAAAAAGCCCATATTGAGACCACTATTGGAAGGATTGAGGAATTGGATGCCCAATGGAGTGATTATGTGACAAGCTTAGAAGGGCCGCAAAAAATGGCTGAGGAGTCGCTATATCTAGATTTTCCGCCCCTATGTGCTGGTATGGAAAGGGAGGAAGGGCAGGAAGTACCATTAGCTCAACGTCATTTCGTGGATCAATGCGAATTTGCCCGTCAAGTTGTTGTGCTAATTGAACAAACCATGGAGGATCTTGGCCAGTCTAGAAGCGGTTCACGTCAATCTGCAATGAGCGAAGTGTCAGATAACCGAACCAATGACCTTGGAAACCAAAATCGGAGGGCACAAGGAAATCAAAGGCCGCAGCCGCCTACAGTACAGTTGCAACAGCCCTTTATGGCGCAACCACGTGCGAAGCTCCCTCCCTTGCATTTACCTCATTTTTCGGGAGAAACCAGAGACTGGCCTACCTTTTGGCAACTTTTCGAGTCAACTGTGGATAATGAGCCCAGCTATGACAATGTTGTAAAAATGAGTTATTTGCTCTCTCTGTTGGACAGGCCCGTACAGAATGTGGTGGCTGGATACTTACCTACGAATGAAAACTACCCACGCGTTGTGAAGCTGTTAAAATCAAGATATGGAGATAAACGTGCGCTCAAGGAGTCGCTACAGTCAGAGCTCTACCACTTGCCCCATGCTAATGATTCTGTGATGGGATTGCGTAAATTTTTGGACATAATTGAAAGAGTATGCCGACAATTGACTGATTACGGAATTAGCGATGACTCTTGGATTGTTTTCACTATAAAGGAAAAATTGCCTAGAGGAATACTTGCCAAACTGATAGAAAAGGAACGAGTAGCTGAACAAACTTGGAATGTTGAAAAGTGGAGGAAAGAGCTTGACCTGCTTATTTCAGTTAAAGAAGAGGTCCAGAGATGTAGCGTTAACAAGGAACCTGATTGGCACCAACGAAGGGACAGACGCCCATTGCCAAACCCAGAGCAAACCCGTTCTTTTCCGGTAGTTAGTCAACCGAGGAAACCCTTTTGTTCCTTGTGCGAAGGAAACCATCTACCAAGCAAATGCCCGAAACATAACAACCTTCAGGCCAAGAAGGATCGTTTGCAGGAACAGAACCGAAAATGCATATTATGTAGAGGGAACCACCCTCCAAGCCATTGTTCTAAGTATGGCAGCCCAAAAGCGAGGAAATACAAGTTACTAGAGCAGAACCGTTGCCTAAACTGCCTGAGTGATGGCCATCGAACCTTTGATTGCCGAAATAATCGACGTTGCAATAAGTGTCGCGGAAAGCACCACTTCATGGTTTGCTATTCACGTATGCCAAATACTCGAATGTTGGAACCTATGCGAAAAAGCGATGCTCATTATTCGAAGCCGACTGGGATGTTTGAAGCTAAAAAGATGTTGGATGAAAAGACGAAAGCTCTCCAAGAAAAAGATAAAACGATAGTGAAATTGATGTCCGAACTTATGTTGGCACGCAAAAAGGCCGAGGATGAATCCAAAAAAGCTAAACGATTAAAACGTCTGCTGGATAAATCTAATCAGAGGATTGTGGATGATCATGGAAAACGAATTCTGAAAGAGACTCATGTCAATGCCCTTCAGAAGGCTAACCGAAAATTGATTGCCAGAAATGGTAAGCTAAAACGGGAAGTGCACGCCTACCGCAAAAAATGCCAACTGGAACCACCACATTTCTATGCCTTTTGCCGCTCATGGATAGATATGAAAATGTTTTTGCTGGTTTTAGCGGCCTTTGTTATGATTCTGGATGGCACTAAAAATGTTCTGAGGATGATTATCCACGCAACAAATAAGCCTTGGAAATGTAAAACGAATGAAAAGATGGAAAAGGAATTGACTCTGAAAACTCCCTCTTGTCTTTCCTTAACGCTTTTCGCCGCCGCTGTTGCGATCAACCCCAATTGGACCTTCCTCGCCATCTTTGCTAATGTTATGGATGGTTGGGCACATGCATGGAAAGAGAGCAGAAAATGTGCAATGGATGATGTGCCGAAGATCAAGAAAAGAAAGAAAATACTTGAAAGATGGAAAAAAGAAATTGAGGATGAAACTTTCAGGCGCGGGCGGGAATGTCGCGAAGCGACTAAGGATGAGGAAAATAAAATAAATATATTTTTATAATTTTAATTCTAAATTAATCATCATTTTTTGCAAATTCCTTTTTCGGACTTTCACCTGGCTAAAAATCATTTTTTGTTGTAAACATCTATTCAAACTCTATTTACATTTTTAGTCCTTTTGTTCTAAAACTTAACTTTATTTTTCACTCTTTTGTATCATTCAAAACATGTGCATTTTTATTTAATCGTTCCTATTATGCCTTTAATGATCGAAATATTTTCTGTCTACCCGCCTATTTTTCTGGCCTATATAATCTCCCCTTCCAAACCCCAATTTAGCGCTTTCGTTCGCAGCTTCTTTCTGGGTTAGCTAGCTTTCTCATTAGCTCATTCTGTCTGGCTTGCTTCTCTTGGTTTTATAGCTCTGGTTCTTGTGGCCTTATCATTAATTTACTTGTTGGATTTTAATTGTGTGAAATAAACTTATTACTATTTGTTTGGCTTTTATTTGGTGTTCTAATTCCTTGGCCAATTGTGTTGGAATCTTTTGGCCTAATCCAAGCAAGCTTTTGCTGAATCTTTTGTTGGTGGTAAACCCTTGGCCAATTGTGTTGGAATCTCTTGGCCTAACCCTGCCTTTTTTCGGAATAGTTTATTGGCTCTATTTTGCTATAAAATTTTCTTTAAAAAAATAATTTACAATCAAGTCAGGACTGTAATTCTTAATTGATGGCGCAGCAGAAGGGTGTGTATAAACAAAAGAAAGGTCAGCACCAATTTTTAAGGTGGACATTGCAGAAAAATAAGGAGCACCTTTAAATTAAAATTCATTTATTAAAATAATGCAAAAGATTGATGGGAATGAAACCAAAAAATTGAAAAAAATCCAAAATATTTCCGAAAATTCCTTGGGACCTCGCCCTAAATCAAATTCACTTTTCAGATCCTACGTTAGAAAAATAACCTTTAAAAAAATAACCTGTATATTCAGCAGAACCTCCAATCACACCAATCTTCCCACTATCTCCTTTCCTCAATTTTTTGCTCAAAACAGGTAGAAGTTCTTTAATTGAAGTAATCTGCGACATTAACATTATGTTTAATAAATTAACTAAAAAATTAAATTAAATAATTCTTAAAATAACTAAAAAGTTTTGGTTAAAAATTTTATGAAGGTTATCAAATTTCTTCTAAAATAGCACATGTGTTGCAAATTTTTGAATGAACTTTAAATAAATTTCCGCAATATAATCCGATTTTTCATTAAAAATTTTGACACATGTGCAAGGGAGAAAAAAAGAACTCAGAAATTCATTAAATGTGAAAGTCAGTTGACATTTGATTAAAAATGGGTGTCGAATCCGAGAAAAGTAGATCAGCAAATGGAATGTCGGGTCTCATATTCCCCGTATCTATAAAGGATCGTTGACCAAAAAACATTTATCCCAAAACAAAACGCTAATTATGGGAAACTTTTTGATTTAGTGCTTTAAACCTCAATATGAGGTCCCTAAAATTTTTGAAATATTATAAATGTTCAAAAGACATTTTTGGAAAAATTAAAAACAATAATTTAAAATTTTATTTTGCCATAAATTTTTTTAGAAAATAAAGCTTTTATTTTTTAAGGTCAATAAAAGATATAGCACAACACTTTTGACCCTAATTAAAGTAAAAAAATATAAAAATTTTCAATTAAATTTTTATGTATGTAATTTTATTTGTTCCCCCTTCGAAAATAATTTCAAGCCCTTTTAACCCCAATAGTGAGTCACAAGTGTCGTTTCGCATAAATAGCCTAATATCAACATATAAGTAGAAAAACGTGAAAAACAATAGAAAGTCCTAAGTGAAGTGAAAAGCCGACAAATTATTCCCGTAATAAATAGAAATTTAAAAATCAAATAAATACTAAAAAACAACCATTAATTAAAATCTGTTCATTCCTTCTTACAAAATTCTTTAACCATTTCTCTAATCACATTTCCATTAACAGAGGTAAAGTCACGAATACAAGTTGAGAGACAATCAACACCTGCAGAGTCTGGATTTTTCAATGGACTGAATTCTTCTTCACGGGGCACTTGCCAGACCATAAAATTTCTAAAAATAAAAAAACAGATTAACAAGACAAATCACCAGGAGATCTTATGTTAAGTCAAAATAGATCCTTACTTCAAGCAACAAAAATACAATACTGAAAATCCCTAAATAATATTTCCCCATTAACCCAACCCGTCTAGAATACAAAAAAGCCACTCTTCACTCTCCGCCAATACGAAGTCTTATTCAAAATTTAATATAATTTTTTATCAAAAACAAACTTTGAATGAATAAAAGCATCAAAAATAAAACGTTCCTTCTTTATGCCATTCTCACAAGTTGGTTGAACGTTTTTTCCAGTGACAGGATCCCAATAAGGTATACGTTTGCGTGCTTCATGATAAGGCAGAAAATCAAATTCCAAACATGCTTTTCTAAGAAAGTCGAGAGTAAAAAAGTGATTGGCAATATTTCCAGCACGGAAGAACAATTTCTCCGGAAATTTTGGATCACGCTTTTCAGCCAGTTCTTTTGGAATTTCTGAATATTCTAATACTTTGAGTTTTCCATCTTCAACGCAGACATGGCCAACTTTTTCTGAAGGATCCTTCTTCTCGATTACCTGAAATTAATTTTAAACAATGGATTAAAAGGGTTTTGCTTCTTAAATTAAAAGTCAAAAATGTTTTTGAAAGAGGTAAAGGCTGCCTTTACAAATGTGAATTATTGTACATAACTTGTTGTTATGGCCCATGCACCGAATATATCAAAGAAGCCTAGCAAATCCCTTTGAAACCTATCCCATTATAAATACGTGCCCTTAGCAAAAAGCAAAAAAAAACCTTCAAAACACAATCCGCCTTTTTATCAACAGCAAAACCAATCATATGTAAATCTGGAACACGACAGAGAATATTGTCAACACAATAAACATGAAAGTATTCAATTCCCATTTCTTCAAGTTCTGGAAGCTTTGGCGAAATTGCTTGATAAATGCCGCCATTTCCATCTAAAATTTCTTTCTTAAAATCTTCGTTAAATTTCTTTCAAAAACCTGGTGAAGTGACAGGCCGATCAGGTGCAGATAAAAGAGGTTGACCATCAAAATTGTGAGCAGGAATTTCATTTTGAGTAAAAACCATTACCTAAAAATTTAAATATGGACACGTTTTGTATATTGCAAAAAGGAAAACCGGCGCCATTTCCCCAGTTTGCCATTTCGGCGGTTTTGGGGGGTTTGCCATTACGGCTTTTTTGACATAACGGCGCGCTACATACACCGCCTAAGAAAAAATTGAGAAAATCAAAAACACCCAAAATTTGTAAATACTGGTCAAAAAACTGTGAAACGAAATATTTTTTTGAAAAGGAGTTCAAAGAAAAATGGTAGAAAACAAAACAAGTACAATCTTAAAAAACTCATACATTTTTCCAATCCAAATTTGTCGTTTTCAAGATAATATCCAAATGTTCACGTATTTTTGCATCTGTCGAGTTGCTCGTCATTATTAACCAAATAACTCTTCCTTTAGCCTTCTTTTGGAGATAGCTAATTTGACAAGCTTGTAAAAACAGAAGAGAATCATTTTCTGCCCCAAGTCCAGTTCCCAGGTTAATAACGCCTTTTGGAAGGGAAGATCCAAGTCGACTAGCTTGTCCACCAGCAAGTGTTATCACGGCTAACTTTCCTCGAGAAATGCTTTCAAGACCTGTAAAATGAATAAAAATTTCCTTGAAATTTATTAATTAAAATACCCATGTCAAAAAATCTATTCAATTCCGTGGCTGAAAACTGGTTACGGTCAAAATAACGTTGTTGGTCTATGGGATGAAAATTTTTAAGCATTTGAAACTTAGAATGTTTAAGGCTAAAAATAAAACAAAAATTATTTATCAATTGGTTTTCAAGCCAAATAAATAAAAAAAAAACGAGAAACGGCCCGATTCAACTTTAAAACACTACTCTGAAACTACTTCGAAACGGCTGCTACTCTGAAACGGCCGATTTGAACCGTCCAAGGCCGCTTCATTTTGTCGCGTAAATTCTTCTCTTAAATTAAAGATGCGCGTCTAATTGTTTTCCTCTTTTTTTTCCACCAACTGACCATTGGAACTTTTCACGTTGCTGACCCTTTACCTCTTCTTTCTTTCTCAGAACTTTTTAGTTTAATATTCCTAGCCAGAAATCCGGAAATTTTTTAGAGCAAATCGATGATGCTCTATCGATTAAAGCACAAAGTTTTGACTCACAGTTTGTAAGTTCTCCTTGTTAGTGTTCACTTCATATTTTAATTTTTTCCTCACGAAAAAAAATAATTAAAATAATTTTAATTTTTTAGACAAATTAAAAAAAAATTTTCTAATCAATTCAAATGTCCGTCATGAAATCTAAAGATAAAACTGGTAAACGAAAAAATGTTCAAGTCGCTGTTAGAATCAGGTTCTTAAGTTTGAATTTTTCTTTTATCTATTTTATCTTTTATATTTAATTCGAAATAAAAACGTTTTTTAAGACCGTTGAGCGATAATGAACGTTCTGTATGCAACAAAAATATTGTTTCGTGTGACCGTGTAACAAGGACTGTTTCGCTCAAAGCGATTGGCTTTTCTGATTCTTCACGATTCGGTCAAGGACAAAAATGTTTTGGACCTTATGATAAGGTTTTTAACTTGTTTTTTTAATAATTTCAAATATTTTTTAGATTTTTGGCCCAGAATCTACTCAAATGGAAGTCTACGAGGGCGTTCTTGCCCCCCTCATGGGGCAAGTTCTTGATGGTTACAATTGCACAGTTTTTGCTTATGGTCAAACAGGAAGTGGAAAGACGTTTACGATGGAAGGGCGTCATGATTCCTCCGAAGACTTCGCATGGAACACTGATCCAACAGCAGGAATCATACCCCGCGCACTTGATCAAATTTTTTCTGTACTTGGCGAGGATATTGATTACACTGTGCGAGTGTCTTATGTTGAGCTTTACAATGAACAAATTTTTGATTTGCTGAATCGGACTGAATCACAATTGGAATCATTGAGAATTTTTGATGATAAAACAAAGGTTTTTTCAATTCGAAAAACGCGATTAAATTCATTGTTTTGAAGGGAGTATCAATTGCTGGTGTTGAAGAGGTCATTGTCCGCTCGATTAAAGAAGTTCACGAATTGCTTAGACGTGGAGCTGAGAAGCGTCGTACAGCTACAACCCTTATGAACATGACTTCTAGGTTCTTTTAGAATTAGGTTTATGCATAACTATATTTTGTTGATTTTAGTCGTTCTCATTCTGTCTTCACTGTTTATGTTATGGTGAGTTTGAAAATCTTTTCAATTTTAATAAACCAAATTAGATTCGAGAGCCGGGCTTAGTTAATGGCGAAGAATTACTCCGACAAGGAAAGCTTAATTTGGTGGATCTTGCTGGTTCTGAAAATATTGGGCGCTCTGGCGCGACAGATATCCGAGCTAGAGAAGCGGGTATTTTTTGTTTTTTAATTCTGTCTATATTTCTTAAAAAGGAAACATCAACACAAGCCTGTTGGCGCTCGGACGTGTAATTAATGCATTGACTATGGGTGCTTCACACATTCCTTATCGCGAAAGCAAGCTGACACGTATTTTACAAGATTCCTTGGGTGGCAAGACAATTACTACAATCATTGCAACAATATCTCCAGCGTCGTCAAACTTTGAGGTTTATTATAATTTGCTAAATTCAAAATTTTAATAAATTTCAGGAATCTGTCAACACTTTGGATTATGCTCAAAGAGCTAAAAACATCAAGAACAATCCAGAAGTCAACCAACGAATCACGCGACGTGGCCTTCTAAAAGAATACAACGATGAAATAGATCGCCTTCGTCGTGATCTTCTCGCTGCTAGGGAGAAACATGGAATTTATTTGGATAAGGAGAATTATGAGTATGTGTTTTTTAACTCTTCATTATAATAAATGGCCTAAGTTCGTTTCAGGCTGTAGCCAGGATTTTTTTCAGGAGGGGGGGGGGGGGTTCTAGATTAGAACCATAAAACAAACTTTGCCTAATGAAATAATTTTCAGTGAAATGATTGAGTCAATAGATGAGAAAAAGGCAAAGGTGGAAGAATTGGAAGCGCAACTTGAGGGCAAGCTGCGTCAAGTTCAAATTGTAAATTTTTTGTTTTTAGAATACTTTAATTACTTTTAAAAATTTTTAAAGTTGCTTGAGGACTTTGCTGTCATGGATCAACATTACAAGTCAATTTACGAAAAATTTCGCTCTGCATTAGCTAAATTGGAAAGCAGAAAGGAAGAAATTGAAGAATTAAGCCTGGTAATTATTTTTTAAAGTCCAAGAAAAAAATTTTTCATTAAAAAAGGAAATCGCTCAAACGAAGGATAATTACAACGCTGCGTCGCAGGCTCTTTCAGTTTCTTGTGATTCCTTTGTTCGTCTAAGATCTCAAGCATTGAAGGTTTTTCTTTAATATTTTGGATTGTTTAAATTTTATTTTTAAGTTGCAAACCTATTCTAATGGATTGTATAGCCAAAACGGACTGCTTTTTAACAAGATCGATGAAGTGGTTAGTTTCTTCCTTAAACTTTTGATTCTGTTTAAAATTATAAAATAATTTGTAGTTGACAACCTTTGATGGAAACTACCAAAAATTGAAAGAGCTGTTTGATGGTCAACACAAACAATTTGAAATTGGAAGAAATCAACTTACAAGCTTCACTAACCGGTCAGAGATTCAACTGAAGGAAGCAAAAACTGCTGTTTGTGCATTGAAAGAAATTTCTGATCAATTTGAACAAAATATTGAAAAGGTTAATTTTTTGCAGAATCTTTTCAATTCTATTATCATCTCATTTTTCAGTTTACTCAAGAATTCCGTGATCGCATAAATCAAGAATTGGATTCTCTTAAAAATGTTGCAACTGAACATAACAAGGAATTCGGAAAGGCTATTCACAGCACATTGTCAACAATCAATAAACAGGTTTATAAAAGTTTTTAAAAATTTGAATAATAACAAAAAATTAGGTTAATGATTGTGCATCACATTCATCAGAAATGTCACAATTATTCGACAACACTACACAAAAGATGGAGAATTTTGTTGAAAAGGAATTTGTTCAAATCCAGTCCTCAGGTTATTTTTAAAAATGTCTCAACTTTGAAATTTAAAATTTAGGAAAAACTCCAGAACGCAAAAGTGGAAAATTCACCGAAGTGCTTGTCAACCTCCCTGAAGCTGAAAAACTTTTTGAAGAGCAGAAGGGCTTTATTACTCCCAAACGGGATGTCAACTATAAACGACGTGATTCATTTTTGGATTCTTCATTTGTCTCATCACTTGTTTCGCCTGATACATTAAAGTGTAATTTGCAAGCAACAACCATGGTTAGTACAACAAAAACGGGAAGACTTGAACCAGTTGATGAAGAAAAGAAGAATGAGTGTGGTACTTCTTTAAGCTTTAAATGATGGTTTTATGAAAAGAAAATTTTATTAAATGCGTATAATTTTGTTTACTTATTGACTGCCAAAAAATTTTCTGTCCCATAATTGATAATTTTTATGAATTGATAAAGACTTTTGCTCAAAGACTTTTTTTGAAAGGTAGAAAAGTTTTAAAACTTTGCCTTATCTTTCTTTAGATACCTTAAAAATTAGATTTTAACGAACAACACAATTAGTCTTGGACTTTGGGAAATTTGGAGTTCCTTTTAGTCATCTGTGAACTATAGATCAATGCTTGAATACTAGCATTATCTGAACCCCTCTGCCTTAGTGTCTCATGTAAAATTCCTCTTACCATTAGTCATCCCTCTTATTATTTTTTGTTGGTTGCGTAGCTAGTTGCGCTTAAATGGCCCTAACGAGTCTTTGCCCTTGCAAATATTTCCAAATACCTGGTATTTTCAGCAGTAAAAATTTGTTAATTTCATCATTTTTTTATAATTTTAGATTTTTTATTTCATTATTTTCAAATATAATTTTCAAAATGATCGAAAATAAAGGAGCTTCTGAAACTGATGTAGTTGACACTTCTGTTGTTCAAAATGATGTCAACCAATTGAATGAGGATTCAGCTTTGATCAAAACTGATGTTAAAGAAAGTGATAGCAATGAAGGGACTCCTGTACGTACAGAAGATGATGGGAAACCGAGGTTTTTAATTTTATCATTCGTTTTAGATAATGCTAATTCTCGTTCAGATTCTTCTCATTAGCACAGATCACCGTAAAAGTTAATGATTTTGCATCTGCAGCAATTGCTTCTGTAAAAGAGAAATTTCTAGGCGAGGATTACTGGATTCCGAGGTAATTTTTGATTAATAAAAATAGTTTATTTTTGGAGGCTAAGGGGTCTTTTCCTGTATCAGGATCTGTTTGACTCAAGTTTTCGTCATATTATATTTTTCCGAATCGGAAATCCATTTGACCATGAGGTTATAAACGGTAATTCGTTTTAAGGCCCAGTAAAAGAAATTTTTAGGCGGGGATTACTGGATTCTCTACTTAATTTGGAAGGATGTAAATATTCAAGTAAAACCGTTATATTTTTTTTTCAGTGACCCTTATGAAGTTGTTGACATTCGTTCAGAATTGCTGGCCTGTCACAAAATTGTTTATCCTTCTGATGGTCATATTGGTACAACTGCTTTAATGGTCGTTCAAGGCTCTTTAAAGAGTGATCCTTCAGTAGCTCTAAATCATGTTGTTTACACTTGTACTGAAGATGGCAAGAATAGACATTTAACAATTTTCCGTTCTTTTAACGCTGAGGAGGCTCTTGATTTTTGTAGGCGTTGTGATGAATGTCGTGTTCTTTTTAATCTTCTTGGTATTTATTTTTAAAAGATTTTTTAACGAAAATTTTTATTTTTAGACCAAAAGAAGGATATTAGAAGGCCTGTTTGGGATGTTACTTATATGGTTTATTTTTATTTTCTTAAACGACTTTTGATTTTCTTTCAGATTAAAAATCATCCACTTTGGCGAATGGTTCATATTGCCATATTATGCAATCGAACAGATATTTTCTCTGATGAAGGTATTGAATGTATAAAGAAATTTGGATATTCTGTTGATGGTAAGGTTTTTCGAATTTAGTATGTACTAGAAAATTTTTTTGGATCGGCGAGGACTGGCCGAATTATTTTTAAATTTTTATCTAAAATTTCTAGAAATTTCTTTTTAGATTTGACCAATGTGGTTTGCTCTCCTGAAGGGAAATATCCTTTAATGTTAGCAATAGAAAAACAGCAAGAGTCAATTGTTCGTTTTCTTCTTAAAAATGGCGCTAATCCAGGTGCACGAGATCCTAAAGGGAACAATTCGGTTAATTTTTTCTAATTTTTTAATAAAGATTTCTTTAAATTATATTTAGCTTCATTATGCAGCTTTGGCTTCAGCAAGTATGTTAGAAACCCTTTGGCATTTTGAATCTTGCAAGCCTCTCTTAAACTCAAAAAACAACGATGGGGAAACGCCAACTCGTGTTGCATTCCAAAATTTAAATCCGCTTTGTCTAAAAACTTTGTTGGGTTTTGGTGGTGAATTAATGTTAAAGGCGTCTGACAAAAATCCTCTTTTTGAGTTGATGCAATCTAAGGGGAAGACTGTTGAGTTAGTTTATTTTAATTATTTTTAAGAACCATTTCTTGGAGGTGGGAGTCTAGTATCTCTTGTGTTTGGAAAAATTGTCTGTATAAACGAGTTGTACCTAAATAGAGGGATTTTAAAGGTTAATAAAAAAATTTTGAAACCACCTCCCCACCTATAGCCAACCAAGCTTTAAAAATTGGTCCAGTTTTTTATAAATTTACCAAAAAAGTCAGTCCGGTATTGTTTTTATCAACAAGAAAGATATCCTTATTTCTCTTCACACAGAGTCCTCCTCCTCCTCAAGTTTTCTTTAATATATAATTTAAAAAATTTTATTTTTTTAATTAGAATGATTCGTGTTGTTTTGGAAGCTTCTCCTGGAGTTCTTAATGAACGAGATTTGGCCACTGGAAATACAGTTGATATTTTATTTTTTTTTATAAATCATTTTATTTTTAAGTGCCTTCATGCCGCCCTCTTCAAAACTTCACTTATGAGTGTTCTTCATTTAAAACATACAGAGCTTGATCTAAATTCAAAAAATAAAGCAGGATTAACACCTTTACATCAATTTGTGATAGCTGGAGATTTTGGTTTTTTATTGAATTTTTTTATTTTGTAAAAAATTATTTTAAGGTTTAACAATGTGTATTGCCTCTTACGGCGCTGATTTAAATGTCCCTGCTGATTATTCAAAAATGTCAGCTCTTCATTTGGCTGTTTCTCAACGTAATTTGGAAATTACTCGTTTACTTTTAAGTCTCGGCGCTGATCCAAATCCAGTCAATAGTCATGGAGATACTCCTCGTCATATGGCTGCTAAATTAAATGAGTTAGTTTTTAAATTTTTAATGATTTAATAAATATTGCTGAAAGTGAATCTGAAAATTTTGGGAGAATTTTCCATGTTTCTTGTCAACTAAAAAGAGTTATTATCGGAGTTCTCTTTATACCCCCTTTTGAAAGGCTGGATTTCAGTTACTGTCATTTAATGTGTCTGTTCCTAACTGCTTTAGTTAGGAACAGACACATTAAATGTGTCTGTTCCTAACTAAAGCAGTTTTTCCTAACTAAAGCACTTTCCTAACTAAAGCACTTTCTGTTCCTAACTGCTTTAGTCAAAGCTTGACAGAGGTTCAAATTTTGTTTATTTTTATTTACTCGGCTCCTGATATGAGTTGAACGATTAAAAAATGCATTTCAAGCCTTTAAAGTATTCGGAGATAGTCGGTCATGATTAAGCTTTTTGGAGCTCCACTTCTATTTTTTAAATTTTTTTAAATTAATTTCATTAAGATTTGAACTTCTCAAAAGCTTAATAATTTGTGGAGCAAAACGCTGTCCAGCAACAAAAATTGGCTGTGTTTCTGGTTGTGTAGATAATAAGGCACTCAGAGCAATCAAGAAACCTTCCTCTTCAATGCCAATAATAGTACCTGATGCAAAGAAAAGTCCAACATCTTTGGTGGAAGAATTAGAAAATCGGACATTTAGTAAAGAAATGTTGAGATATAATAAAATATTGGATGCTGAACATAATTCAATTTATAATGAAATGATTGGGGTTTTGAATGAAAAAAATGAAGATGAAAATTCGAGTATAATAAATATACTTTCTTTGGATGGCGGTGGAATTCGTGGTTTGGTTATTACTCAGGTTTTTTTTAATTTTGTTTAGAAAAGAGGAAAGAGAAAAATAGGGGAATTTTTTGGATTAATTTTATTTGAACGAGAAATGGAGGTAAAGAATAGAATAAGATTTAAAACCCAAAGTAACAGACTTTCCAGACCTTTACAATATAATGATATTAGGAATCAGACCCGTAACCAGGGGGTAGGGTTGCCTTTGGCGCAGAAAAATTTTCCCCCTTGCCCCCTCCACTCCCTCCCCCCCTTCCGAAAAAAATCCTGGTTACGGGCCTGTTAGGAATAAAATGGAACTAGGAAAACTGATGTATTTTTGGATTAACATTAAGGAAAAGAGTGATTTCATATTTTTTCTTATTCATTTTCCCCTCGTTAAATTATTTGTACTATTTTTCAGAAAAATTTTTTCAGATAATGTTAGAAGTTGAACGTGTTATGGGTGAATCTATATTTGAATATTTTGATTGGGTGGCAGGAACTTCAACTGGTTCATTAGTTGCTGCTGGTCTAACAAGTGGACAGACTCTTCGAGAACTTCAAAGGGTTTTTTTTAATTTTTTTGAATTTTTATTTATTTTTTTAAAGGTTTATATTCGTTTCAAAGACCTTGTTTTTGATAATCGTCGACCACACAATACAGCCGTTTTGGAGACTTTTATTCAAGAAGAATTGGGAAAAGATAAATTGTTGATTGATTTGGAATGGCCAAGGTATTTTAAAAGATTTTTTTAATTAAAAAATATTTTTCATAGACTTTTATTTACTACAACAAAAGCAGATTATTTTCCTGTTCAATTGGAATTAATGAGAAATTATACTCTCCCAACAACTGATGATGAGAATTTGGAACTTGGATTTAAAAATTCAGAAAGTTAGTTTTTTTATTTTTGAAATTTTATTTTAAATTTAGAATTGTACTTGTGGAAGGCGTTGAGACGTTCTTCAGCAGGTTACAAATTTTTAAAAACATTTTAAGATTTTTGTAAAAATTTATTCGAAATGTCGTCTTTTATGGCAGAGGATTTGAGTACGACTAGGTCCCTCAGCTCTTTCCACCACAGGATTTAGGTTTAGTGTGATTCAACGTATCTTGTTGTGTTGTGTAGTATCAAAACTGTCTTTTTATGTCTACATTTAGCCATGGGTTTTCGGTAGACTGGACTTGTGGTTGATTAACCTTTTCGCCTTTTTCTTGGTTAATTATAAAAATATTCCTTGGTTTCTTTTTAGTCCTCCTTTCTACTTGGCATATTTTCAAAAATCTAAAATAATTTCAAACTCTCTATTTTAAATTCAAAGAAATTTTTTAGCACCTACATTCTTTTCTGCTGTTGATAATAAATATATTGATGGAGGTATAATCTCAAATAATCCGTCACTTGAATTATTACAAGAAGTACAATTTTGGAATAGTTTTAATAAATTAAAGGTTTTTTTTTAATTTTTTATTAAACAAAAATTTTTTTCCTCAAAGAATATTCCAAAATCTGTTCGTATTGGTTGTCTTTTAAGTATTGGAACTGGTTCTATTCCTTCGACAAAATTGGAGGTTTTGAAATTTTAATTAAAAAAAATTAATTTTTTAAAATTAAGCCAGCACATTTAGAGTTAGCACAAAATTATATTACACAACCAATAACTTCTTATAATGCTGTGATTACTATTGGACAAATTTTGATTGATCAAGTTAGCTGAATTTTAATTTTTTATTAATTGGGTCGAAAAAAGTCGGATCGGGTTGTTTCGGGTAACCCGATCCATCCCTGTTCTAACCAAAAAACATTTTCGAGACCTAAAATGATATTTTTTCTAAAAATTTTCAGATTTTCTGTTTTAAATTTGAAAACTCAGCCGGGGTTTTTCTAAAATATTCGAATATCTGTCCCAACATTTCAAAGACTTTGAACTCTAAATTAATTTTGTATAATTCACAAAAAGGTATCAGCAACAGAAGGAGCCCCTGTACACAGAGCTGGAGCTTGGTGTATATCTTCAAGAACACCCTATTTTAGACTTAGCGCTCCTCTTCATAAAGAAGTTCAAATGGATGCAAAAGGTGATGAAGAAATTGCTAAAATGATGTGGGATTGTATTGAATATATGTAGGTTTTTTTTGGAAATTATTTTTAATTACCTATGGGTCTTATTTGTGAATATCCCTACTCAGGATTAGATTAGAGTTGTTCCTGGTAGATCTACGGATATCCGGAACCGACAACCTTAATCCGGAAACTTCAATTTAAGGTAGCTTCTATGTAATAAAACCCTTACCCACGCTTATTTCTGAAGGAATAGAAATTTTTTGGTCTTTTCTATTTTTCAAATTTTAGTATCATTATAAAGCTAAGACTTTATGCTACAAAATAAGAAAAAAAACGGATAAAAATAGTTATCACTCAAAAAACATGCGATAACAAAAAACGAACTTTTTTTTGAACCGACCTAGTATATCAGACTAGTCTTTAATAAATTTATTTATCAGGTATATCCATCAGGATTATGTAGAGAAAGTTTGTACATTATTACGTAAGGTAGGCAAATCGTCTAAACGTCGAGAATTTTTTGCTTCATGTAATAATTATACAACGGATCCTTCCACACCGGTTAAATAAAAAATTAATTTTTATTTTTGTGTGATATTTTTAAAAATCGAAAAGCCTTTTTTTAAATTGTGCATTATATTTTGTTCACTTTAAGAAAATTATATATCTCTCTATTTAAATTGAATCCTCAAAAATTTATTTTTCATTCCTTCTAAAAATTGTTTTTTTTTCTCTCCGTCCAATTTATTCAAAATTAAGTTTTCTCCTTTTTTATTTGCATTTTAAATTTTCATTTCTGTGAAATGACTAGACATTGATTTAGCTTTAATTATTGGCTTGTAATCATTAAACTTTTTCATTAATCTCTTATTCGAAAATAAATTTTAAAAATGTCCTTGATTTTTCAAAAAATTACGATAGGATTTGTCTTTATAGTAGTATATAAAATTAAAGGATTCGCTAGATATACTACTTGTTAGACCTATGTAGTAAAGACTTCCCTTTCCATCCCGAGATATTCCGAAATATAGTAAAAATCCCTACCTATCCAGTTTAAAAAAATCATCAAAGAATTCAGTTAAAAATATTTAAAAAATCAAAAACTTTTATCTATAAAGCAGTCAAAAAGAGTAAAAGTTTTAAAAATTTTTAAATTTAATATGCTTTAAACAAAAAATATTTTTTCAATTTTTGTTTTCTTAAACCTTTCCTTTCCCGAGTTGATATTCTTTTAAATTTAAGTTTTTGAAAATCTTTATTTATCAAGTCTTCTTTTTCTTCCGTTACTAATTTCTTTCCTAATACATAAGGCTTTAATTTAGACCAAACTTTCTTTTTGTTAATAAACAAAAAATTCTTGAAAAAATTAAAAGCAGCTTTGCACAGACGTTCATGTTCACCTTCAAAGACCCAGCAAGCTCCACGTTTAGGACTGAAATTTAAATTTAAAAAAAAGTATGAGAAAAGAGATTTGTAGATAAAATATTAAATTGTTCTGAAAAAAATTTTTTCGAAAAATAGAAAGTCTTAAAAATCCACTTTTCGATAATTATTGGAACCGCTATAATGAAAAATAAAAATTTCTACAAACATAATATCAGAAAGATAGATTGCACTGTGGCCATGAGGAATTCCTCGATCAGTATGTCTTAAAGCGAAATAACCCAATCCTTTTATTGCATTACGTGATCGAATATCAATATGTAATGAAGAATAATATTCCTTAACATAAATTGCAATAGCCTCCCAAAACTAAAAACAAATTTAAAAAACAATTTTAATTAGTGTAAAACCAATTTAGCGGCATCCTCCTCATCTCTATTTCTTTCTCCGATAAACATTTTTTGAGAGGCCTAACAATAAAATAATTTAAAAAATTAAATTAAAAAGATCTGAAATTCAGGGAAATTTTGTTTATAAAAATATTTTAATTAGAATAAAGTGATGAACAAAAGTTAGTTTTTATGGGAGCTTTTGAGCTTACATATATGATCTGGCCAAATTTTTATATTTACAAAATTAAAAGGACTCAAAAATTTAATTTTCATTGAATTTTCTAAATAAAAATACCATTTTAATAATTTCGTTTTTAGATGTTCGTCTGTTATCAAAATAATTTATATCACCAAGAAATACACCCGAATAAACAGCTCCAGTTGCAAGTGCTCCTTCTTCAAGTCGGGAATTAAATATTTTCTTTTTAAAAACTTCCTCAACAATATTTCTAATCTGTTTAAATAATTTAAAGGTTATCAAAAAAATTAGAGGAATTGATGATCAAAATACCCCCCCCCTCAAACATCAATTCAACAAAGGCTAAACACTTTTCTCAATATAACGCCGTGGAAGACTTGATTTATCTGTCCACATATCACCACAAAACAACCGACAAACACAAAAATAAATCAGAAATTTGTAAACCTTCGGCATTCTAGTCATCCCTCCAACAAGTAAAACTCTGTCGAAACCAGTAGAATGTAAATCCTCCTCACGATTCTGTGATACAAGTTCGCTATCTAAAGATCGTTGTTCTACTTCCGGTTTAATTTCTTCTTTTATTTGTTGACACATTTCCACAAATCTTTGTGTTAAATTTAAAGTTAGTTGTTCAAATTTAGAACGAGTTAATATTATTTGAAAATGCTTAAGTTCTCCATTAGTATCAGCAATAATATTTGGAAGAATAATTTCAATTTGAGTAGAATTAGAAAGTTCACATTTTGCTTTTTCAGCAGCTTCACGTAAACGTTGAATTGCTATAGAATCCTTAAAAAATTAGATTAAAAAGTCCGATTGAAAGGCAATGGAGAACGGGCAAGACGGTTATCTGTTGGTTATGCTATTGTAAAGCATATAGCTATTAATTTCCTAAGGCTGTGCAGTAGGCGGCGTGGTGTAATGGCTAACACATCAGTCCGGTCTACTGAAGATGCTGGTTCGCCCCAGCCGCCGATTAACCTTTTGCACTAGCTAAAGGAGAGAAATAGCTATAGCCCAGCTGCTTTACTCTATACTTCTGAGGCCCTGAATCTTTAAAAACAACACACACCTTATTTAAATCAATTCCATTCTCTCGTTTAAATTCAGAAACAAAATAATTAACAATAACATTATTAAAAGCCTCTCCAGAAAGGCAAGTATCATATTTATTTGACACAATTTCATAACCAAAATATCTCAGCTTCAAAACAGAAAATTCAAAAGACCCTCCATTTAGATTGCAAACAGCGCTAAATTAATTTAATAAAATTAGAGGAATCTTGACCCCACTTTATTTTTTCGCAAAATTGTTGGGTTGACCACTACTTCTATTGTTAATAGGTTCATTGTATTTATCAGGGTACACCGAATGTTGAAAATAGGGAAAAAATAAGGAGAAGGCCAAAAATAGAGGAAATCCTCTATAAATAGGATAAAAAACCACCATGATTTCCATAAAATTTTTTATGTGAGTAGTCTACTCAAGAAGGTTATGGCAATATCGGGTCATTTCTCCTCGAAAAAAAGTATTAGCATGGGATATATACCTAAGACAAGAACTGAATTTTGAACTACAGTACCTAATATAGTGGAAAGAAAGTCTCGAGAAAAGCCCCAATTATTCTCTAGTAATTAATATAAATCTAAAAAACCCTCTCCAATAACGATCCAATCCATAACCAAATGCTGCAGCAATAGAATCAGGAACAAAACGTAAAATTTTCATTCCAGCAAGTTCCCCAGCTTGTTTCAATGCTTGTTTTTGTGAATAATCAAAATAATTTGGAACAGTAATTATTGCATCCCCAACTTTTTTATTTAAATAATTTTCTGTCATTTCTTTTAATTTAATTAAAATAAAAGAAGTTATTTGTTGAGGGGAATAAAGCTTTCCTTGGATTTCAATCAAAACATCGCCGCCATTTGGAGATTTTAATATTTTGTTTGGAAATTCTTTACTTTAAAGAGAAAAATTAAATTTAGTCAAAAAGTACAACTCATTAATCGGACTAAACTAGAATATACATGAGTCGAGAAAAAGTGCAGGACGGATTTTTAAATTCCTCCCGGATCGTGTTTCAGGTCGAAAAATGCTTTGGTCTTGGGTAAATAACTAGTGGCATCTCTGGTTCGGAACCAGGTTATTTTTGCAAAACCAAGGGTGTATCTTGTATTGAAGGCATTGAAGGCAACTTTACTAAAAACGGACATACTAATTGAGGGAAGCTATTTAAAAGACCGACCCTTCATTTAGAAATGTAAATTTCAAGATGAGAAAATATAAATCAAAAATCAGCTTACATAAAATCTTGCACCTCTTTATCATCAAATTTCCTTCCAATTAATCGTTTAATATTAAAAACAGTATTTTGACTATTCAAAACAGCCTGTCTAAGTGCTGGAGCCCCAACCAAACATTTCCCCCCTCCACCATTTTTTGTAAAAGAAACAACAGAGGGAGTAGTAAAAGAACCTTCATCATTTTTGAGAACCTTTGCTTTTCTTTCCTCCAAAATTGCAACAGACGAATTTGTAAAACCAAAATTAATTCCAATAACAGGCCCTCTTAACTCTAATTTTTTTACAGAAAAGTTATTGAATGATGGTCTTAATTTTCTCATATTTTAATGAAGAAAGTTATCTTTAAAAAATAAAAATATTTCTTGGTTAATGAACATAGTTATGTAGGGTTATTGGTTTTGGACCGAACCGGCGAACCGATGATTTTTCGGTTCCGGATATCCCTAAGATTTTCCAAGAACCGACAACCCTTAACATAGGTAAATATTAATCATTAAGATATTAAATTAAATATAAACAAGCAATAAGGTCAAAATGATAGTCCACATTAGTGGTCAATATGGGGAAAGAATGAAGGGTTAGAATGAGTGAAGCAAGTTTAGTTTATATTTATATAGAGGGGAATAAGGTAAGAAAGGGCAAAGTTAATGAAGAAATAAGTAGGTGATTGACAGTTATTTAAATTTATAAAATCAATTCTGAATAAAGAACGGCATTACAAAAGTGAATTTTTTGAATACAAAAGAAATTCAAGATTATAGTCTTTAAAAGCATATCCATTCCCTTCGCATAAACTCGGAAAATAATAAAAGCTGTGAAAGAAGACTTTGGCATTTTTGTTTTCCTTTTTTTGGTATGACTGCGCACCAAAATTTTCGCGTGTTCGTCAAACGCCAATTTTTCAAATTTTTAAAATACGCGAACGCCAAAAGGCCAAAAATAACGCCAAAACGCAAACGGCTTGGCGCACAGCACAAAATTTTGCATTTTTGTCTTACAATGGCACACTAAATTGTTGAATTCTTGAACTATTTCTGTGTTTCTGTTTAGATGTTTCAACGGAACAGTTCTTATGTTCTAGCCATTTTTCTTGGGAATTTTGGTCTTGGTCTATTACATACAGCTTTTAATTTTTATTATGTCAAGGTTATTTTATATCCTTTAAAACACCACGTACATATATTCTGTAGGTTTTCCTCAACATATTTCAAGTTAACGAATACTGGTTTAATTTGGCTCAGCTTCTGTTTTTAATTTGGAATGCAATTAATGATCCCTTATTTGGCTATTTACAAGTAGGAATTTACTCAGAATTATTTTTTAAATTTAAATTCCCAGGATGTAGGGGGAACATGGATGCAGAGCCGTGCAAGGATTTTTACCTACTTTGGACCTTTTTTTGTCATCTCTTTCTTGATTACTTGGTTTCCTTGGGGGAATAAAGATTCCCCTCCGTATGTGGAAGGGCTACATTTGATTGTTTCGCTGTTTTTCTACGATGCTTTCTTCAGGTTTTTTAAAATTTTTTCATGTTTCCTAACCAGAAATTGGGAGAAATCCTGTTAATGAGATTTCCTTATCCTTTCATGACTCGGTTTCGAGGCGTATTTTCGGCCCGATCAAATGTTTTTATACTTACCTCACCGAAATTCTGTGTTTCTCATTAACGAGATTTCGCTGTATAAATAATTTTCTTGATGATTTTTAGCTGTATAGGTGTAGCTTGGTCTGCATTGTATTCAGATACCACTAGAGATCACAGAAAACGGGTTAAAGGCATAAAATTCGCTCAACTTGCGTCTCTTTGTTCAGTCAATGTGATTACGATTACAGAAAAAGTTTCAGGCAGTCTTGAAGTATTTTTTTATTAATTTAATATAACGACATAACCATTCTTGAGTGTCAATCCGAAATTGTTATGGTTCTTCATTGACTCGGTTTCCGAGGAGTAACCGAGTCACTGAGGAACTTTGTTGTCTATTCCTGACTGGGTTTCTCCTTGTTATCTTTCCACATTTATTGGGTTGTTAAAAGTAGCACGAATTCCTCGCAACCCCCGTTCCCCGTAAAATTTGGTCCTGCCTCGTAATTTCAAATCCAAGTTAATTTGGTTTTTTTAGAAATTTGAAATATTCCAATATGTTTGTGTTACTCTGGCAACTATTTCACTTTGTTGTCTATTCCTGACTGGATGGTTGGCAAATACTCAACAAAATAATAAAACAGATGCTAATGAAAATCTTATCGAGAAGGACGAGCTGGAAGAGGATGAAAGTAAATTAAATGAATGGAGTTGGAAAAGGATTTATGGGCTTACAATGGTTTGATTTTTAAATTTTTTTCAAAAATTTAAACATTAATTTTAAAGCAAGTTTTGTCCTCAAAAGACTTCCAGTATGTAATATTTACAAATTTTGTACACACATGCAGGTTGAGTTAGAATTTTTTATATTTGGTTTTATAAAATCTCAGGACAACTGCACATATGAATTTCGCCTCAATTGCCACAGATATTCTTATACCACAAAGTATACTTCCGAAAGGTTCTCTACAATTAAGTGCGTTTTTTGCTGTATGTACTTTAGTTCCACAGGTATAAATTCAGATTAAATAACTTCAAATATTTGGTTGAGGTTTTTTTGTTGACCTTTTATAGAATAATTTAGAGAATGGGATTTTCAAAAAACCTGGATCCTTGACTTTGATTTCAAGTAAGGATCTTGACCAGATTCTTGACCTTGAGTCAAGGAAAAATCAAGGAACGCTGAAAAATGCCTTGATCTTGACTCTGGATCCAGGAAAAATCAACGTCTGGATCCAGATCCAGCTCGCCCTCTAGAATAATTCTCTTCAATTTACAGGTTTTAGTAATTTTAAACGACAAATTACTGCTTAGAAGCGGTGCATATCTTGTCTATTTTTACGGAATAATTGCTTCAATTTGTTCGACCATTTTGTATATATTCTCATCCAATCCATATGCTGTGTTATTGTTTATGCTCGTTGACAGGTTTATTTTTCAATTAGCGTTCTTTAAAATTAACTAGATAATCTTTCTTTGTCCAATCCAACTTTATATTCCATTTTTTCTGTTAGATAAAAAATTGGTGTAGTAGAATATTAGTTTAATTTTTATGATCAATGATAGGTTCTAGAGATCGAGATTTTTGAAAAGTCTGGGCCTGTTTCTGGGTTTGATTTATTGATCAGGGCCTGTAGTCCAGGAAAAACCCAGTAAGGTCGAAAATGCCTGGACTCTGAGTACAGGAAAAACCCTGGCCTTGGTCCAGACCCAGCTCGATCTCTAGTAGGTTCTAGTCCTAAATAACTCTTGAAAATTTTGACAATATCAAATTTTAATTATGCACGAAAATTAAGATTTTAAATAAAAATAAGCAAAAATCTATTTTATTTTTTAGCATAACTGTTCATTCAACATCCCCTCTTTTCAACATTTTACTTTCAGAGGTTATTGAAGAAGACAAAATTAAATATTCAAGGAAGTTTGTTTATCAAATTTAACACAAAGATAATTTTTATTTTCTGATTAAAGGAACCCAATTTCATCCTTAATATTCAGTTTAAATGCTCTTATTGTTAAACCAGCTATTTCAATTGCTCCCGTCATTATTGTATTTTTGTTGAATCGAAATGGATATGCACTTTACCAAAAAGAGCAAATACGATCGGTAATGAAAAGGCTAAATTTATATTTGTTTTTAAACATTATTACAGGATTAGGACATGTTTACTAGAGAGCGAGATTTTCAAAAAACCTTGATTTCGGTTGGGTACCTTGACCAGATTTTTGATCTTGAGTCAAGGAAAAATCAAAGTTTGGATCCAGATCCAGCTCGCTCTCTAATTTTTACTTATAAGAGGTTGGGGGAAGAAACTAGAGAGGGTGAAAAAAAGAGATCGTTTCCCCTCCCCGTATACTTAAACACTCCCAAAGACTTTGATGCTTTGACTGGTGGTCATAATTCGGCCCAAATTATTTTCAAGAAAACAGACATCACTCCAAAATAGTTAGGGGGTCTTATAGGAATGCTACCAAAATATAAAGAAATTTAGACACAGTAAACAATTGTCTCTTGTTATACGTATAAATCCTTAATTTTTTCATAACATTTCATTTTTAGTTGGAATTACGTTCTTGTATGGCAAATGTGATTTTCTCAACCCCGCTTATTTTGGGTGCATTAGAATATTGGATTTTTAGACGATACTCACTTCGTCACAAGCATAGTTTAATTGGGCTCCCAATCTAATTTACAATGTTTGATATTAAGCATTATGTAGGTTTCATATTTTAATTTACACTTTATTAATTTGTTATTTTTAAAGGAAAAATTTCGGAATACTAAACAGAACAATGGGTCAAACCATATGTCATTCGAAAGAGCTCGTCGAGCTGATTCGAATGACACCAAAATTGTTTTGATTGGATGATTTATGACAAAGTTGTGACCAACAGAATCTTCGCTGGAAAAACTGTTTTTGTGCTGCTACGGAGGGTAGGCCGGGCATGGTCTTCGCTACACGATGGCGTGCTTCGCTGCGGTCGTGCTCACTTCGCTCGCGGCGACCGTAGCGAAGCGGCGGCCGTCGTTCCGCTCGACATGCCCGGCTTCCTCCGCAGCGGCAAAAACTTTTTTCCGCGAAAACCTTGTGGAAGGGGTTAAAACAAACGGTCATAACTTTGTCAAATCAAGTCCGATTTCATTGATTTTGGTGTCATTCGACTCAGCTCGACGAGCTCTTTCGAATGAGGTATAATTTGCATTTCGAATTTTTCACTCCAAAAAAGTGCTTGGTCCCCCCTATGGTTTTTCAATTTTCGGGGGCTTGTATCTCAGCCCCTGTATGAGTCCGCACGAAAATTTTTTTCAGATTTCGACTCAACTCGACGAGCTCTTTCGAATGACATATAATTTGACTCATTTGCTTTCTGTTTAGTATTCCGAAATTATACCTTTTTAAATTATATATTGTTGCATAATATTCTTGTCTTTACCTAAATTATGCATTCTCCCGGTTATTTTATCATTCTTGCTTGATTTTGAATTATCACTTGTTAACTTTCCTGTTTTTTTATTTTTATTTATTTGTAATTTTCCAATACGTTATATTATCTTTTTAAAACTACGATTAGATTAGTCTTTTTAATATAAAATTAAATAAATATGTAATTTATTTAAATTTTATGAATTTTTGGACTTTTTAGATCTAACAAAAATTGTTCCATTCCTAGTAAAAATCAAAGAAAAATTTCAATAAAATCAAAAACTTTTATTTAATAAGGCAGTCAAAAACAAAAATGAGCAAGAATTTAAAAAAATTTCAAATTTAATATGCTTTAAACGAAAAATATTTTTCCAATTTTTGTTTTCTCAAACCTTTTCTTTTTCGTCTATTAATAAACAAAAATATAAAATTTGTTTGAAAGAAAAAAAACAATTGGAGATTGAAAATTAAATGAGGCATTTATCATGATAATAAAAGGCAGATTTTATATTAAATGTTTTGATCGAAGGAAATTAAAGGAGTCTGTTTAAAGGAAATAAATTTATAAAAAGAGAATGGACATTTATTATTAGTTTAATTTTTAGTTTAAGTAAAAGTTAAAGGATTTTTGGTTGCGTATATAATAAACGTTAAATTGCTTCAAACAAAAAATATTTTTTCAATTTCTGTTTTCCTGGACTTATTCTTTTTTGAGTTGTTTTTTTAAAGTAAATTTGTTTAAAATCCATATCCAGCCTTTCCTCTTTTGATCGTAATTTCTTTCGAAATAAATAAGGCTTTAATTCAAACCAAACTTTCTTTTTGTCAATAAACAAAAAACTTTCTAAAAAACAAAAAACAGAATTGCACAAATCCTCATGTTCATGTCCAAAGTACCACCCAATTATATTTCTAGAGCTGAAATTTAAATTTAAAAAAATTGAAAGAGATAGGAGGTAATATTGAACCTGACAGACCCCATTTTTTCCTTACCAAGTTTTTCCCTATATATCTACAGAATGGTGTCATCGGAAAATGGTAACGTTCGACCCTGCTCGTCGAATGGTATATGTCTTGTATCGAAACTTTACCTCTAGTATAATGAACTACAGCCATAGATATTAGTGGAGTCTAGTAGAGAGCGAGATTTTCAAAAAACCTTGACCTTGATCCTTGACCTTGATTTCAGTTGGGTACCTTGACCAGATTCTTGACCTTGAGTCAAGGAAAAATCAAGGTCAAGGAAAAATCAAGGATTATTTTTGCCTGGATCCAGGCCTTGATTCTTGATTTTTTTTTATTTGGACGTATATCAGGAGATTAAGTGGGATATGCTGGTATTTAAAGGTGGATATTATAGGATATAGAGATATTGTGGGATTAAGTGGATATGGAAGCAGATTTGACCGGATATCGAGGAATATAAGAGGATTTTAGACGATTAAAGGATATCGGTGGACTGAGTTGAATATCTGAGCTTTAGAGGGCGTAACAGTGATATTGTGTATTTGGGGATTTGAAGGATATCAGAGGATTAAGAGGGATATGTGGACGATATACGGGGATATCCGTGGATCTCCGTATATTCGTCCACATCCGCGGATATCCCCATATATCCGTCCACATCCGCGGATATCCCCATATATCCGTCCACATCCGCGGATATCCCCATATATCCGTCCACATCTGCGGATATCCACATATATCTGTTCACATCCTAGGATATTCACGTATATCGTCCACATCCACTTTATCACTTTAATCCTTATCCCTCCATGGGGACCAAGGGAATACCAGGAGGCTACGTCCTTGATGGGGACTAACTGAGGTATATATACTCAATCGTCAATTGAGGTGTACCGCAAGAAAATATAATAGGTCTGCATAAAAAATAGAATAGAAAACATACATAGAGAGAAAGAAAAATGCTTCGCCAATTACATTCTGAAGGAGAAAAAAACACGATTTTAATGGCATTTTGTTGATATATTAGGGGGAAAATTAATCAAGGAAATCAAGGAAAAAATTTGCCTTGACCTTGACCTTGATTCTTGATTTTGGTTGGGTACCTTGACCAGATTCTTGACCTTGAGTCAAGGAAAAATCAAGGTCAAGGAAAAATCAAGGAACTCTGAAAAATGCCTTGATCTGGACTCTGGATCCAGGAAAAATCAAGGTCTGGATCCAGATCCAGCTCGCTCTCTAGAGTCTAGCTAGCAGTGCTGGGTATGGCTCCGGGAGCTAGCTCCGGCGGAGCCGGAGCAAAGATTTTGAAAACCCCGGAGCTGGAGCCAAGGTTTTCCAATTCCCCACGGCTCCACTATACACTCCTAAAGATGGGTGAAAGAAAAAAAGTGAGCAAAGAAGGTAGGCGTGAAAAGAAAAGGAAAAGAAAATTGAGACAAGTAAAAAAGATTTTCTGTGGTTGAATGGATATGTAGTGAGTTAGGTTCCTAGTTTTGTTCAAATATGGGTTCGAAAAATATCACAAAGATGATTAAATAGTTTTTTTCTTTGGAAAATAAATTATAATAAGCATTTTTTAATTAAATAAAGCTGGATAAATTTTTTAAATTGATTAATTTTAGTCTCCTGTGTGTCAGATTTTTCAAAATTTTCGCCTGCGGCGCAAAAAAGGAAGATTTTTGGCTTAAATATCTTCCAAAATTCTCTAAATTTTCGCCTGCGACGCAAAAAGCAAGCGATAATGAGAGTGTAACCCCTGATCCCGGAACCCAAACCAGTTCAGTCCTAGACTCAATCCCAGACTCTAATTCCCATTTCTATCTTCCCATTTATAAATTAATAGTTTTCTCTTCTTTGAACTTTGCCTCTGCACTTCCGCTTAATTCCGCTATATTATTGTTTACAATTACAACTATTCATTCCCAGCCTTTCCATTATTTCACGTGAATTCCTATTATTTCCACTTATTCCCAAACACTTCCCATTATCCATCCACATGAACTCCTATTATTTCCTCTTATCCCCGACCACTTTCTCAACTAATCACAGTTACAATCTCCATTAATCCAACTTGTTGACTATTGCCTATCCCACTTCCCACTCCCCTTTTCCCGACTTATAAGGTTTTCATTCCCTCCAATAAACACCTCAGTTAGTCTCAGTTTATCTCATTCTCAGTCCATCTTATATCCTCAGTCCAGTCCAATCTCTGTTTATCTCAGTCCAGTCCAATCTCAGTTCCTTCACTTCAATCCATTGTTCACTATCCTATTATTCCACTAAAATCCTATTTCAATTACCAGTTCCATTCCATACTATTATCGAACATATTAAATCCTATAAATTCCATCTTATACCTAGTCCATTATATTCCATTATTAATGTTCACTCCATAATGTCAATTACCAATAAATAGTATTTGGTGAATTGGTCTAGAATCGGGTAGGACCTCTGGAAGCCCACACTCGCACATCCACTAATTATATCCATTATCCAAACACATCCACTCAAATCCCGACTCCATATCCATACATACAACCCCCAAGTAACTAACATACTAACTGGTAGCACCTAAGTCGATCCACTACCCCTGCCCAATTCACCAATCAGAATAATTTTTAATATATAAATAAATTTATTTTTTTCTCTGTCCCCAAATCACATTGTTTTTAATACCCCAAAGTGTGCACACTAATTATAAAATTTCTTCTCCCCTCGTTTTAAATAAATTTTATAATACATTTATCCCAATAACGAATTCGCGTTCATTAATTATTAAATCCAATTCCGTGTTCGTACTACATTTAAATCCATACATATTCAATACGCATTATTCCTGACACATTCAAATTATACTTAATCTATAAAACCATTTATAATTCATAAATAAACAACTAAATCCAAATCCATTTAGAGTTCAATCAAATTCATCAAATCCATTAAATCCCAATCAATCAAATCCAAATCCATAGCGCTCAATAAATCAACAAATCCAAATACATTCGCGCTCAGTAAATCAAATCCTAATCCAATCAGAGCGCTCATTATTTATAAATCCTTCCTAATCCAAGCGCTCATAATCATAAATAAATCAAATCAAAATCCATTCGCGCTCATTAATTCAATAAAATGAAATCTATATCGAGCTCAATAAATACATCAAATCCAAATCCTTTCGCGCTCATATCAAATCCATATCGACTTCAATAAAAAAAAAATCAAATCCAAATCCATTCGCGCTCATTAATTAAATAAAATCACATTTATATCAAACGCGTTCACTATTCAATAAATTTTATCATAACCCGTGAGCTCAACAATCATTAACAATTATTTTTTTTCTTTTTCATTCTCTCGCGATAGTCCCGGCCGGGCTCCCAATACATTAATTCATATATGTTTTTAAATGTCAAAATATTAATTTTAAATAAATTTTTTACTTTAATTAAAAATTATTACTTAACTTGAATAAATGGAATTGGACAATTTACATATATTGTTCTCTAATTAAATGGAAATTGGAACTTTGGATGGAAGTTATTAAACTGTGCTACTGAATTACAAAAAATTGTTTTAAATATAAATTACATTTACCATTGGATGAGATAAGTTTACTTAAACAAATATTTTTTATTAATCACAGATCAATTAATCAAATCCATTCAGCGCTCAGTCAACCAAATCCAATTAATCAAATCCATTCGCGTTCAATTAATCAAATATATTCCGCGCTCAACTAATTAAATCCAATTAATCAAATTCACTCCGCGCTCAATCAATCAAAACAACTAATCAAATCCATTCAGCGCTCAATCAATCAAATCCAATTAATCAATTCCGTTCAGCGCTCAATCAAATCAAATTAATCAAATCCATTTCGCGCTCTATCAATCCGCGCTCATAATCAATAATACATATCCTATTCCAAGCGCTCAATAATCACTAAACGAATAAATCTAATCCGCGCTCAAAAAAAATCTAACAAATCCATAAGCGCTCTAATCAAATCCAATCCGCGCTCAATGAATCAAATCCTAATCCAAACGCTCATAATTGAATAATCAATCAAAATCAAATTCGCGCTCAATAAATTAAAACTAATCAAAATCCATAAGCGCTCAACAAATCAGATAAATTCAAATCCAAGTCCAATTCGCGCTCAATAAATCAAATTCTAAATTAACCAAACCGCTCATCACTCAATAAACATATCCTAATCCAGCGCTCAATATTAAAAACAACAAATCCAAAAACAATAAATCCAATAATATTCATATCCTAATCTAGGCGCCTAGACTCAAAATACCCCATTACATATACCAAAGTCCAAAATCTACAAAACATAGTTTTTCATTTTTATTTCCAGAGTTCATTGAAATTCTCATTTCACACAAAATTACACTAACTTCACATAACACTACTAACAAAACCTCACATACCACTAATAACAAAGCTTCACATAACACTACTAACAAACAACTTAACTACCAACCAACCACTAACATTCTTACATTGCACGCTCAATATTAATAATTGTAATTTTTTCACATCCACTACTAACTTCCGCTTCTAGCTTTTTAATTAACATTCAGATAACTTACTAATCCATTTTAAAATCACATCCTAACTAAAAAAAATTTTTTTTGATAAATAATTCCAACCCAGTTTATATATTCCCTCCAACCCAAACATTTAAAAACATTCAAATCTTTTTTACAAATTTAATAACACCCCAGGTGGCCGCAAGGACCCTGGCGAGAAACTCATTTTTTCATTTAATATTATATCACTCAATCTTTTATTTAATTTTTCGTCTCGTAAATTTTCTAGATAAGATTAAGGACGAAATTGGGTCTTATGTTCCCTTAGGAAATATCTCAGCCCCTCTTTTCCACCCGTACTGGTGTTCAAATCAATATATCACCCCTTCCCTCACCCTTCACATTTAATAAAGCCGGACGTGACACTGAAAGTGGCCGTCTCGTGTATCCTCCAACTACCTCCAACATATTTAATAACAAATATCGGAGCTAACTGATGTTATATTCAATTTCCCACCGCTCATCTGTTTTTAATTCCCCATTCAATATTAATGTATTCACATCCACTCATTCTAACACCAACTCAAACAATTCTTCATTTAATCACCCATTCAAAATCTCCGACCTCTTTGACCACCCCAAGAAAACTCACGAAAAGAATTTTAAATTTTTGTTGAATTTTTCTGTTCCCATTAAAATTTTTGTTCCATTAGATTTTCCCATTAAATTTTTCCCATCAACTTTTCCCATTAAATTTGTTTTAAATTTTTTTATTTTTGTTCTTATTCCACCGTTGAAAGCGCTATAAAAAAAAACATTTTGTTATTTTATTTGGAATCGCAATTATTTCAGATTGTTCATACATAAGTCCCAACTCCTTTTCCCTAGACTTTTTGTATGAAATCGCCCCTGAAATTAAACTCAAATAAAATTTGTTATTCCTAAATAAAATCTCTAATAGTATTACCACCCACTTATAACCTTTGTATATCATATCATGAAAATTTTTACTGAAATTTTACACTGCATCCCATATTTTATTACAAATCCCCTCCTAGTATCCATTATAAAATCCACAAATCCCTCCTGCATCCAAATAATAATTGAAGACACCATAAAATATATTAATACCCAGACTAATAAAATACTATAAATTATTCCCCTCATACTTTTCTCACTATTTACCAATACTGTACTCATTTTTATCATTTATCTGTTGCATCATTTATCCTATTGCATCTTTTCATCATGTATCCTATTGCACTTTAAACAAACATAAATTTCAATTCAATCAAAAACTAATTTTATCCAAACAACAATAATTACGTTAAAAATATTATGAGTGTCCACATCTCTTTTACATATCACACTTCTCCTTTTATATTACTACCCTCACTGAAATAGCCATGCCATTTAATCCAAAACCATTGAAACTAAGAGCCAACCCCAGGAATCCCTCTCCCCCTAGGAATCCTTTCCCCTCTCCAAAACATTTAATAACTCCAGGTGTGACACAAATGTGGCCACCTTGCGATATCACAACTCAACAATAGGAATTCAAATCCATAAGAAAGCATCCCCACAATCAAAATTTGGTCGCAGGGACGCGACCAGGTGGGCAAGGGAGGTGTAACCCCTGATCCCGGAACCCAAACCAGTTCAGTCCTAGACTCAATCCCAGACTCTAATTCCCATTTCTATCTTCCCATTTATAAATTAATAGTTTTCTCTTCTTTGAACTTTGCCTCTGCACTTCCGCTTAATTCCGCTATATTATTGTTTACAATTACAACTATTCATTCCCAGCCTTTCCATTATTTCACGTGAATTCCTATTATTTCCACTTATTCCCAAACACTTCCCATTATCCATCCACATGAACTCCTATTATTTCCTCTTATCCCCGACCACTTTCTCAACTAATCACAGTTACAATCTCCATTAATCCAACTTGTTGACTATTGCCTATCCCACTTCCCACTCCCCTTTTCCCGACTTATAAGGTTTTCATTCCCTCCAATAAACACCTCAGTTAGTCTCAGTTTATCTCATTCTCAGTCCATCTTATATCCTCAGTCCAGTCCAATCTCTGTTTATCTCAGTCCAGTCCAATCTCAGTTCCTTCACTTCAATCCATTGTTCACTATCCTATTATTCCACTAAAATCCTATTTCAATTACCAGTTCCATTCCATACTATTATCGAACATATTAAATCCTATAAATTCCATCTTATACCTAGTCCATTATATTCCATTATTAATGTTCACTCCATAATGTCAATTACCAATAAATAGTATTTGGTGAATTGGTCTAGAATCGGGTAGGACCTCTGGAAGCCCACACTCGCACATCCACTAATTATATCCATTATCCAAACACATCCACTCAAATCCCGACTCCATATCCATACATACAACCCCCAAGTAACTAACATACTAACTAGAGTGATAAATCTACAATCTCCTATTCGCCCAGATCCCCGACAACCCAAATCCCCCTTAACCCAGCTTAATTCCCCGATATCGCCCTTAATGTACACGATAATCCACCCAAATCCCGCTTAATCCATTGATACCCCTCTTAATCCTCTGATATCACTCGACATCCCCCTTTATCTACCTAGATCCCCCAATAAAAAATAATTCATTGATTTTCCAGCCGGAGCCCGGAGCCAACATGGAGCGGCTCCGAAAATCGTCGGCTCCGGAGCCGGAGCCAACAAATGGCAAATACCCAGCCCTGCTAGCTAGTAATTTGTTCAAACAATCAGAAAGAGATTTTTCAAATTCAGCAAATTTTTTGTTTCGAAAATCCAAGAAGTTTAACTATTCGAAGCAAACCGTGGTTCTAAATGATTCCTTAACTCGAATATCAAAACTTTTGGAAACAATATAAGCTAAAGAAAAATTTTCACAAACTTATAATCAGCTTTAGAAATGGCCAGATAAGCACACACATTTTTTGAGTCATCACATTGTAAAGCGAAATGACCCAATCCTTTTATTGCCTTACGTGATCGAACATCAATATGTAATGAAGTATAAAATTCTTTAACATAAATTGCAATAGCCTCCCAAAACTTATAAAAAATAAAATTCAAAAAAATTTAAATAAAAAACCAATTTAGCGCATTCCTTTTCATTTCCACATTCAATGTTTCTTTCTCCGATAAACATTTTTTGTGAGGCCTAAAAATAAAATTTAAAAATCTGGACACTATGCGTTTATCCGCCCACATTTTCCTTTTCTTCTCCTTTCTCATATTACAAAATCTAACATAACAAAATGTAAACGATATACACTGTGTCAGAAAATGATAGACGCACCTGTATTTCGTGTCATATCTCGTGCTATATTTAAGATATTTTCTAGAAATTTTTTTTTAATTTATCGTTTCAAATGCTAGGATGGATATAATTAATAAAAATTTCCAAAATATTTTTTAAAAATTTTTACGTCAAATTTTTCGAAAAACGGGTGTCAGAAAATGATAGACGCACTTTAATGTTTGATTAAAATTTAAGTTTCTGACATTAGAAAAAATTTACAAAAATTTCAACAAACATATTTATCGATACTAAGAGGAAATAAAAAAGAATTAGACCCATATCTCACTTCAGTGTCGAGATCCAGATACCTCAAAAATCAACGTAAATCGGGGGTAAGGCTATTTAAAAAATATTTTCGACCCCTTATGTTTTGTTTTAAATTTCCATTTTGGGCTCATTCGAAAGCTCTTAAAATTTGCTATAAGATAAATGGGATCTTGTATTTGAGAAAAAATTTGGAAGATAGATGTAGGTCGTTAATTTCCCGACGCTAATTTTATGGGGCATTTAGGTGATTTTCTCTGACTTATAAATTTAAGACTTAATAACCGTCTGAAATATTTTTTCTATAAAATAAAACTTATGCTATCTTAAAGCAAATTTTAAGGGCTTTCGAATGAGCCCAAAATGGAAATTTAAAACAAACCATAAGGGATCGAAAATATTTTTTAAAGAGCCCTACCCCCTATTTACGTTGATTTTTGGGGTATCTGGATCTCGACACTGAAGTGAGATATGGGTCTAATTCTTTTTTATTTTTTCTTAGAATCAATAAATATGCTAACTCAAATTTTTATAGATTTTTCTTTTTGTTAGAAACTCGAAATTCCAAAGTGCGTCTATCATTTTCTGACACGCGTTTTTCAAAAAATTGAACATAAAAATTTTTTAAAATAGTTAGCAAATTTTTCTTGGTTATATTCATTTTGGCATTTAAAAAGATATATCAGGGAAAATTTATACAAAAATATCTGTTAGATAAAGCGAGATAATAGCAAAAATATGGGTGCGTCTATCTTTTTCTGACACAGTGTATCATGCCAGAAAAAGTCTAAATCCAGAGGACCCAAATTTTGAAACCAATACCAACGATGGAACTGATAGCTCTCCTCAAACACACAATAAATTAGCGCAGGCAAAAGAGAGGACATAGCGGAATTGAGATTTTGGTAAAGTGGATATGAGCGCTGACTACAACTAAAACTTATACTCACAGAGTGAGAGGGGGGTATATTTGACCATTTTTCCACCAAATTTTAAAAATACAAAAAATACCATCTTAATAATTTTGTTTTTGGATGTTCGTCTGTTATCAAAATAATTTATATCACCAAATAATACACCCAAATAAACAGCTCCAATTGCAAGTGCTCCTTCTTCATGTTCGGAATTAAATATTTCCTTTTTAAAAACTTCCTCAACAATACTTCTAATCTGTTCAAATAATTTTACAAATAAATGGTTTAAAGGTTATCCAAGGGAAAATTTTGCGGATACATGGCAGGTGCAAGAGGCAATCTAAAAAAACGCAATGCAAGGCCAAAAAGCAACGCAAATCGCAGGAAACACAAAATTAAGAATTTTATTTGTTCTCTAGTTGAAGCTGCACTAATGTCAGCGAGTGCAGTGGATAGAAGAAGATTTAGAGGGATTAAGTAGATATCTGGGTAGTTGGATGGATAGAGGTATATCCAAGGTTATGTCCTTTAGCGGCGTACGAAATTTTTGATAATTCTGGAAAGCCAAGACGCCAGATTAGCTTTTTTACGGGTATTTGAGGGAATTTAGTGTTAATTTCAATCAACTTTACCCAAACGCATTGTGCCCGTCGATGACTCCAATCCCAAATACCTTCCTCAATCAACACTAATCTCTATTACCAACCAAAATTCTCAAAGAAAGTCGAGGTACGTTGAAAACTTTTGTTTTGCAGACTCGTTAATTTGTTCGCATAAGATAACTTGGAACTAGGGCTGCACGCAATTGCGGATTTTTAAAAAGAAATTGCGAGTTGCGGAATCTTTTTTCAATTGAGTGCAGCCCTGCTTGGGACAACCCACAATCACCAAAATAAATAAAAACCAAAGATTTCTAAACCTTTGGCATTCTAGACATCCCTCCAACAAGCAAAATTTGGCCGATTTCTTCTTTTATTTGTTGACAAATTTTCAAAATTCTTTTTGCCAATTCCGAAGTTAATTCCTCAAATTTAGAACGAGTTAATATAATTTGAAAATGTTTAAGTTCTCCATTAGTATCAAAAATAATATTTGGAAGAATAATTTCAATTTGTGTAGAGTTGGAAAGTTCACATTTTGCTTTTTCAGCAGCCTCACGTAAACGTTGCTTTGCTATAGAATCCTTTAAAATTAAATCATCTGGATTATCTAATCAAGGATTGAAGGAAAATTAGGGAAAAGGCAATGGACAACTGGAGAGACCATGTTTTGCCGTAGTTCGGAAGCCCTGGGTGAAACTTTTTATTTTCCTCCCATTGTGAGCTTTTTATGGAAAATTATTATTCGGAAGAACTCTTCGAGTTGAGTTGAATGACATCAAGATTGGTTAGATTTGGTAATTCTGATAAAAAATTTAGAAAAATAAGAAAAAAAATGTTTAATATAAACCAAAGTTTAATTTAAAAACACCTTATTTAAATCAATTCCATTCTCTCGTTTAAATTCAGAAACAAAATAATTAACAATAACATTGTTAAAAGCCTCTCCAGAAAGGCAAATATCATATTTATTTGACACAATTTCATAAACATAATTTTTTAGCTCCAAAACAGAAAATTCAAAAGAACCTCCATTTAGATTACAAACAGCAACGCTAAATTAATTTAATATATGGCATGAGTTGAATTGAATGAGTTGCAAAAGGATGATTCACCTAGTTACAACATGAGAAAAGAGAAAGCATTAATCGTCGCCCTGGTAGAAGTGATTTACCGGCCCAGTAATAACTGCAAGGAAGTCGCTTATATAGGTTCGAACAAGATGACCCTTTTCAAAACACTAAAATAGGGCGCAGCCACTCAAAAATAGGGTAAATGGCCTATAAATAAGCCAAAAGGATCACCCTGGATTCGAAAGGTCTCGAGGTGCTGCATCTTTTTCATAATTGGACTGATCTGATCATTCTACAAAAAGTTATCATTGATAAACAATGTCACAGGCAGAAAAAATCAATTTTCCGTCTGTAAATTTTTTCAGATCGGACCAATTATAAAAAAGATGCCGAATCTCGAGACTTTTCAAATGATATGAGAATTGGCAGAATCGGACGAATATCAAGAGAGTTATAGCCATATAACGAAGTTTTGCTGCAAGGATATAGATTTTTTCTGCAGACAAAAAGGATCAAAATGGTCAATGCAGACTTATTTCCATCTTTTTTAAAGGATTAGATTGTCACTTTTTAAAAATATTCACTTAAGATAATGAATTTGAAATAGCATTGGGTGACTAAAAATGAAGGAAAAAAAGAAAAATCCACAAGAATTCACCACTTCTTCCCTTGTAATTAATTAAATCTAAAAAACTAAACATTTTGTTTGACTCTCCACAAGTATCCAATCCATAACTAAATGCTGCAGCAACAGAATCAGGAACAAAACGTAAAATTCTTAAGTTAGCAAGTTTTCCAGCTTGTTTCAATGCTTGTTTTTGTGAATAATCAAAATAATTTGGAACAGTAATTATTGCATCCCCAACTTTTTTATTTAAATAATTTTCTGTCATTTCTTTTAATTTAATTAAAATAAAAGAAGTTATTTGTTGAGGGGAATAAAGCTTTCCTTGGATTTCAATCAAAACATCGTCCCCATTCGAAGATTTTAATATTTTGTTTGGAGATTCTTTACTTAAAAAATAAATGGTTAAACTAGTGTAGTTACCCCCCCCCCCGTCCCCCACAAGCCCCGCCCTTTTTCTTCATCTTCCTTTCCTAAAAAATGACATTTGGGCCAATATTTACTTTTTATTTATTTCAGCATACTTAAGTACACAACTCTGCATTTTAGAACCTTCAGTCCGGTGTTGTGCTTGTATTATAACTCTGGGTGATTAGAGCCTCTTTATCATGAAGTTTCCTTTCACAAAAAGATTTTATGTGAATAAAAGATGAAACTACTCACAACTAGAGCTCGGACCGTACCGTACTACGGCCGTATTTTTCGGTATTTATCGGTATTCCGTATCGGTAGTACGATACGGAATACCGATCGATAAAATTTTGAAGTTGATCGGTATTTTCCGGTATCGGTATTTTTCGGTATTCCGTATCGGTAATACAGTACGGAAAAACTAAAATACCGATACTACCGACCGATAAAAAAATCAAGGAATCTGTGACTTGGTTTACCAAAATTCTTAAAATTTTCGCCTGCGGCGCTAGAAAAAAAAAGAAATACCGTATTTATTCTAATAGAATGGCAGCCATTCTATTTTTCAATACCCCAAAAAATTGTCATTCAATTGGAGGTGCCATTCAAATGGAGGCTGCCATTCTATTTTTCATAGGTCAAAAATTGAGATTGGGATTGTTGAGATTGAGATGGGTGATTGGGAAAATAGGCAATTCGACCAACTTTTTATGGAAAATTCGATATTGTAGAATTTTAATAGTGAATTTTCTCTACGTATCACTATAAGTTTCAAAAGTTTTTTGTCTCGGGACTAAGAGTCAAATTTTGATTAAGATAGGTGCAATACAATAAAAATTTCCTGCAAAGTTGGGTCCTGATTGCTTATCAAATTGTGGAATTTTGGTGAAATATAGTGGGATCAAGTGACATTTTGAGGGATATTGGGTTTTGGAGGGTTATCGAGAGTTTGAGGAGGATGTTGGGTGATTTGGCGGGATATAGGGATCTAGATTTGTTAGCATTCAGGGATTTGAGGGGGATTCATTATCCTCTCAAATCCCTTGATATCCCTATCAAACACCACTTTTTTGCCCTAGACATGCTCAAAAATATCGGAACTATCATACTAAAAAGGGATATTAAACTAGTTAATTAAGGGAATAAAGAAATAAGAGTTAGATAGTTAATAGTTAGAAAGTGTCATTCTATTAGAGGTGCCATTCAAATAGAGGCTGCCATTCTATTTTTCATTCATTCAAAAATGTGCCATTCAATTGGAGGTGCCATTCAAATGGAGGTGCCATTCAATTAGAATAAATACGGTATGTTGATTGTATACTAAAATTCTCAAAATTTTCGCCTACTGCGCTGGAAAACAATGAAAGTCCTCTTAATCCTTCCATATCCACCGATATCACACAAAATCTATCTTAATCCCTGTAAATCCCTGATTTACCTCTTTATCCATACAAATTTATTTATAAAAATAATTATTGATTAATATATAAATTTTTTGAAAATACGGTACGGAATACCGATAAATTTTTATCGGTATTTATCGGTATCGGTATTTTTCGGTATTCCGTATCGGTAATACGGTACGGTAAAATTTTGAAATTTATCGGTATCTATCGGTATCGGTATTATACGGTAGTACGGTACGGAATACGGTACGGTACGAAATTCCGGGCTCTACTCACAACACGGGCTACAGCAGCAAAGAAAATCGATTCCTTTGCATGTCCATTTTTTCTTTTATTAAAAAAGGAAGATGGAAGAAAAAGGGGGCGGGGCTTATGGGGGGGGGGTAACTACACAAACTGAATTTTAATTTAAAAGCTTACATAAAATCTTGCACCTCTTTATCATCAAATTTCCTTCCAATTAATCGTTTAATATTAAAAACAGTATTTTGACTATTCAAAACAGCCTGTCTAAGTGCTGGAGCCCCAACTAAACATTTACCCCCACCATTTTTTGTAAAAGAAACAACAGAGGGAGTAGTAAAAGAACCTTCATCATTTTTGAGAACCTTTGCTTTTCTTTCCTCTAAAATTGCAACAGACGAATTTGTAAAACCAAAATTAATTCCAATAACAGGCCCTCTTAATGTACTACTACTAAGATAAAAATATTTTTAAAGAAAATAAAATAGCTTTACTTCAATCTCCGTATAGAAAAATACCTAAAAGTTGGTCTAAGAAACATTAACATACTAATATCGTTATTGATACAATTAAGCAAAAGCCATTTTAGGAAGGACAAACTCAATTAGGTAGGTCTTCCAAAACAGCTAGACTCAAATAGCCCGCAATAAACTTTGCGTCAAAACAGCTTATTTACTGATTGGGACATTTTGTCGCGATTTACCGTATACCAGTTAGTTACAAGTTTTTTTTTTATCAAATACCAACAGATGAAGAGATAAATCCACAATGAATTGTGGCAAGCTGGATTTGTTTTATTTGAAAATCATTAAGGAAAACTGGTATTGTATTTTATATTATATAGACAAATCTGTGTACTTTTTATTTCATTTTCAAAATATAGTTGATAATTTATTTAGAAAAATTTAATTTATTTACATATTTTTTATTATTTAAATATTTTTATTATAATTTCTTTGTCTATTCAAATTGTTCCACTACTCTGATTTAAAGCTGTTGCCTCACAAAATTTAATTAATTCCTCAAAATCGAATTTATAGACATATCGCTTTCCCTGCACTTTGGACATTATTTTTTTGTCGTAATAGTAGCGAAGGGCACGAGACAATTTGTCATAGTTCATGTTAGGCTTGCTTTGGGAAAAAATTTTTTATTTTTTATAAATTTCTTTGTCAAACCCTTTTCGTTGTCCCCATCTTTTTGCAACTTCATCTGGGTCCATTAATTTAAATTCGCCTGAAATTTGGGGGTTTTTAAAAGAAAAGTTGGGAGGAAATTATTAAAACCATGTTTTCCATGCCACTCAATACAAGAAGAGTTTTCTCTTGACATGAGCAATTCTAAAAGAAATTGCCACAATTGAGTTTGTCCATTGCCTTAATTTTGTTTATTTTACACGTCAAAGACGTGAAAATTAGAAATAAAAATAACAAGTAAATGAAATGCCTTAAATTTTATTTTTTTAAATTTTCCGTCACTTTGTAATGTTGGTTGAGCCAAAAATTGTTTTAGAAGATTGGATGGTTCTACAAATTCTAAATATTATAATTTTCAAAAATATATTGGTTAAGCTAACTGACTTGTTGGAGTTGAAGTTGTCGGCTCCAAGTAATTCTTAAAAATGCAATTTTTATTAAAAATGAAAATTTTCTTCCCAATAATCAGTGTTTTGGAAGCTCGTACCAAAATTCGTATTCGTACCGAGAAAAATTATACAAGTACGAGTAAGAGCAAATTTTAAATTAGAAAACAATGTCAATAATCGTAGTCAATTGAGGTATCAGTTTTTTCTCTTAGATGGATACTTCGCGAAAATCAAAGTTTTTATTCAAGTCAACGTTTTATTACAACTGCCAACTTTCCGAAAAACTCAGTCAACAATTTTTCAAAAATTTCTTTTTATGTTCTTATGAGGACGGATATACCCTACACTCTAATTGAAAATTAACAAACATAAATCGGGTAGTGATGCAACAATTGGATTTGTGACTGTTGATGTTGTATCGAATTTCCTAATTTCAATCCAATATCAACTAAAATTTTCTTACATTTTCTTTTATTCCTTATATCTTTTACTTGCCTCTCCCTTCCCAATACAAAACTGTTGGAATTTCTCTTTTAGAATAAAATAATGAATCATTCCTTCTGTCAGCAAGAAACATTTTTTTAAATTTTAATTAGAAATGGAAGGAAATCATTTTTAGGAAAAAATATTTTTTTATTTAGTGTAATGTTTACATTAAACATTATCTCGAGGCTCTAAAAACATTAATCCCCTTAATAATAATAAAGCATAAGCCATTAGATTCTTTTTTGTAAAGCAAATTATAGCCATTAACATATAAGGGAAAAACTTTTTTTTCTAATCCGTCAAAACTACCTCTTAATAAACATAAATATACACAATTTTGACATAAAAAGATAATATTTTTAATGGATAGGGTGTTTAGAAGGCACAAATTGCATACAAAAATAAAGGGAACTTTTTTTGCATCTTGGAAGTGTCAAATCCTAAAATTTTTTTACAATTCTTAAAACAGCTGGGGCCAAGATGCAAAGAAATTCTAAGAATGTTGAACATGTTTAATTTATGTATATTGCCCTAAACTGTAATTAATAAGGGTCCTTATAGTTTTTATATACCTGTGGGTCAGTTAAATAGAAGATATATAAAATATCTAAAAATAATAAAAAGAGGTGTGAGTCTAATATTGAGCAAGTCATTATGAGAATATAAAAAAATGAAGAGATAAATACAATTGCGAATACATGTAGTCGAACCTCAACTGAACGTTACCTTTCGGGCAGAAAAAAATCTGAGTTAAAGTGAGAGTGACGTACAAGTGAGATTCGACTGTATAATAAACACATAAATTGGCCTCAAATATATTAAAATTAGTCAAAAAATTAAATTTAAAGTCTTTCAATCTTTAAGGCATCCCAAGAGTTTGTTTAATTCGTTCCAAACAAATATTTGCTCCATTTTGACAGTCAGAGGACATTGGCGAAAAATTGAGAAATCCATGAGGCAAAGAATCAAGCAAATCTACGCTATGTACCTTCCCTCCAGAGTCTCGGACCTTTTTTGCAAACATTATAGTATCGTCAAGTAATGGGTCAAGATGGCAAGCCTTTAACAGAATTTTTTCACGCTTATCTTTTTATAAAAAAAATTCACCACAAAACGGATTGGAGGTAATTTAGCAAGAGTTTCAGCTGGTGTATACATAGGCGACATTAAATGTTCACGTGGAAGTTTAAGTTTTAACAATTCAGTAAAATGAGAATGATGATGGACTGCTTCCTAAGAATTAAAAAATAAATATTTTAATTTCAATAAAAAATTTTTACTTTTTGTTGGACTTTCGCTGCACTCATTGGAGACATTGTTGCAGCACGTGTAAGCTTCTTTTTGTCAACGCTTCCTAATGGTTCCATTGGTGTATCAAGCCATTCAGTTATTTTGTCGGTTGCATGCCCTGCAGCAAGGGCAGCGGTGTCTGCTAGACTTTGACTGAGTGAACGGGATTTGTTTCTCTGAATAATAAAATTAACAAATTCAAGAATTCCAACCCCCACGGAAACCTATAGCCGAGGTTTGTCAAGTAAATGGGCGGGTAACTCGATATTAATATTCTTCCCACCCGACTGAACCCTGATATAAACCACAAAAAATCGTAACAAGAAAATTAAAACTAACTGAAAGTCGCTTCTTGCTATGCAATGGAGTACATCCTAAGCTTGAACCAGGACTAAAATAACTCAAACGTCCTTGACTGTCATCTTTATTGCTTGTATTAGAATGTAAAATATTTCGAAAGAAAGAAGTGCTTGACGCTGTACTCGACGGAGTTGATTGTTGTTGAGTAATATCTGGAGCAAGAATTGATGTTGGGGTCAGCAATTTATCATTGGAACGTTCAGCTGCAGTAAAAACCTCAGTTTCTTCTGATTCATCACCAAATACTTTTGAGTCAGTAGATGCTTGATCAGTAAAAGTATTTATTGAACTGAAAAAATTGAAAATAAATTTATACAAGAAAAATAAAGAGAACAGAAGAACACAATTCAGGTGCCAGCAAGATATCGAACCTATCCCTTTTGCTATGTTATATATCAGAATGCGTTATGTTAAAAACTCTCCAAGTTATGCGTTATGTTAAAATTATGTTAAAAAAGTTATGTTAAAAAAGTAATGCGTTATGTTAAAAACTCTCCAAGTTAAAAGCAACATTACAATCCTCATCCCAGCTAAAACCAGGATATAAAGATTAAGAGCCTTTAGTAAGGCAGAAAAGGATATACCCCAAAATATTGGTAACTTTTTAGTAAAGCCGAAAAATATTCTAAAAATTAAATCAAAAATGCAACCTTTTAGTAATTGGATGTATTTGTAAATAGTCAATCAAGCATTGGTCAAAATTTGTTGTCGAAAGAAAAATATGTGCCGGATCAGCATCTACTCTAACCGATTGCATTGCAGAATCTTCTTCATCATCTTCAGCATTTGGCCTGTTATCCCCTTCATCTTGAGACTCTCCTCCTCCTCCAACATTTTCTGTTGGCATTACAAATCCCACAGTTTTGTCTAATCGTTTATCGTCTTCTTTGGGTGGAGAATCAAAATTAGGTTGCTCAGGGACAGATTTGTTGAATAACGACAAATTGATTAATGAAACAATAGATTGCGAGCCTTGCTGAAAATAAAAAATAAATATAAACACAAAAGACTGGCGAGCACATTCTTTTGTCCAAAAAATAAAAGACATGTGCTTGCCAGTTCTAAGTTATTTGTTTCTACAAAAAAATATCTCATGTAATAAGTCAAGCCTACTGACAGATGAAAATTATAACAATAACTACCAAAATATGTTCTCATTCAACAACCATAAATTTGAGTCAAAAAATAATTAAAAAATAACCGTGAAATCCAAGAGACTTTCATTCTGCGCTCGCTGCACCTGGTCAACATAATCCTGCAACGATCTATGTCCATTATTTGCTGGAACATTCGGACTCTCTTTAAAAGAAGCGTCCTTATCCAACTCCTCATCAGTATAAGTACCAGAGTAAGCTGAAAAAAATATAAAAACTTATTGTTAGAAAATAAATTTAAAAAAACCTGCTGCACAACGAATTACTACACCCATATGCAAAAGAGGGTCCATAAAGCTAAGAACACGAGAAGGGGACGGCAAATACTGAAAAATATTTTTGAACAAAGACTGTGTTAATAAATTAAAAACCTGAAACAAAAAAGGAGTATAGATGGGAACAAGTCCGTCAGGAAGTCTTTTAACACCCAATTCGACAAGCTTCAATGAAACAGACACAATCAAATTTCCTCCAGCAGAATCGCCAACAAGACAAACTTTTTCACCAGTCCAACCTTTAAGAAAAAATGAGAAAATTTTAGCAAAAAATAAAAAAACCAAATTTCTCGTGATTTATAAGAATCCAAGCATAAGCATAAAGAACCTCCTCTGTTGGGCGAGGAAAGGGATTTTCAGGTGCCAACGAGTAGTCAATAGAAATAAGTGGGCATTCCAAAGATTTGGCCCAATATCGAAGATAAGTCTAAAAATAAATTTTATTTTAAAGAAAATTTTTAAAATAAAACCTCATGTGATTTAGATGAAGTAGCAACATAACCACCACCATGACAATGAATAACCAAATAAGGCGAAAGAGTCAAATTTCGAGAACTGCTTGAATTCTTAAAAGAAAAGAATATAATAAGTTGTGAGTTTACTCTCTTAAGTGTTTTAAAGAGTACATTGAGCCTGCGGTACCTTGGGCGGCGGTACCTTGGGGTGTACCCATTCCTTATGTTGTGTGAAACCTTCAACTTAGAAGTTTTTGAGAGGGACAAGCTATAGTGTTCAAAAACGGAGGTAAAGTTTTGTTTAGGAGATCAGCAGTAATATAAAGTATTCTATAAGCTAAAATAAAATACCAATCCAAAACGTTGTTGAAAAGAAAGAACACGCAAAGCAATAGGTCGAGGTCCAGTATGCGAAGATGGCTCATGAATTTGAACAAAACCTCCATTAACCGATTCTAGCGAAAGAGTACCAGCTAATTTAATTTCAGTCTTCTCACAAGTTGCCATAACAGGACAATATAAACTAGGCATTGTCAATTCTGAAAGATTCCAAAACCCTCGGCAAAATCCAATGCTTGCTTCTCGAGTCACCTTAAAATATTTTTAATAAAAAACCTGCCAAAATAACCTTAATAATGTGTTTTGCACGCTGTTCTGGATTCAAAAGCATCCGGCCGCCTCTAATTAAAGAGCTTAGAGCCACAGTGCTTTCCCATGAAAGACTATAAGTGGCCAAAATCAATCCAATAACCCGAAAAATACGAGTAATAGAAGGTGAAAACTGAAAATATAAAAAATAAAAATTAAAAAAAGAAAAAAAATTAACTTGAAATCCAAGAGAACGTCCATAAAAGCAAGAAGCATCGAGGTTTTCAATTCCACGAAACATTATATTATATTGTTGATAGTCACTATTAAGCGGTGGGAACAAGCTGTTGTTATCCAAAACATCCAATAAAGAGACAACCTTTGAAAACCGGAATTAAATTAGCAAAAAAAGGAAAAATCAGAAACATTAGCTTTTAGGGTTTTAGTGCGATCCCGTTGTAAAAAATCGAGGTTCTATGTAGAATCTAATCTACCAAGAATGGCAGTCAATCAACAAGGAGCTATTAAACTTTCTCTTTTCATAAAAGAAATTAGATAAGGAAAACATTTCATGAATATCTGGAGCAGTAATCAAAAAAATATACCTGTTGATATGCCAAAATAAGAAAGCGAAGAATAGCCACATAAGCCTCAATTTCCTTACAACAATGCGATAAACGAAACATAATTGTAGTCCGATTGTCTGAGCAGATTCGAAGAACCGAAATTAAATGTAAAAGAACAATGTCACTAATACAAATAAGAGAACTTAAAAAATAAAATCAAAAAAAATTTTTTTGAAATAAAAAAACCGAAATCCATTTCCAGGAGTATTTTCATCGTAGTCATAATTTTGCGAAGCAATTTGGAGTTGACAAATTATTTCTTTAAAAAATGGAAAAATATTAATTTGATTAATTTAAAGGTACCGCGAATGAGGTCAATTGAAGAACACAATTCTTTACAACTTTCTAGAATTCGTCTATTATAAATTGAAGGGTTGTGAATTTGTTTAAAATAATCTTCATTATCAGATGCCAGCTAAAATAAATTATAGAATTTTGTTTAGGGTTGGTCACGAACATGTCGGAGAGAAAAGGCAGGGAAAGGACGGTCATAGATGGTCCCGCCCAACGTTATTTAAAACCCATCGTCGGAAGGGTCGTCGGAACCAACTCTAATCTTGTTAAAGGATAAGGATTGTCTGATACAACGTCTACCTATTTTGATAATGGAGTTGAATCGAGAGTCAAGGCTCCGTCTGTAAAAAGAGCCAGAAGGAATTCTTGGACGTTTCGAGAGAAAGTTACAACCCCACCCAATAAAACCCACAATTCCAGATTTAAATCCTTTCTAAATTTTAAAAACCTGTTTAAGTAAGTCAAGAACAGCATCACGTTGAACAGACATCCGAGGTTCTAATGGCACTTTCATGATAAAGTCGATGTTTAAAGACTAGAAAATTGTTATGAGCTTTTAGTTGTACCCGTTAGAAGAATTTGTGAAATTCTGAAAAAAACATATGTAAACTGAAAATTTGAAATGAATTAAATTCAAATCAATATGGAACAAAGAAAAGATAGGAAATGAAAGATAAGGATTGCACTGTGACGTAATAATTGTTTTTTGCCTAAATTGGTATTTTGAGATTAATTTACACAGTAGACCCAACAGTCTCTTACCCAAAAGTTAATTTATTTTTTGAAAATTAGATATTCTAAAATTCGACATTTTGACATTTTCACTTAATCTGGACGTTTTTAATTTTTTACTATTTGACATTCTTAATTCCTTCGCGAAGAATTTTTGTTTTTGTGCTATTAGGTGCTTTGTCTATTTTCCTGGGTATATTTAAACAGAACACAAGTCCAAAATAAAAATACCACTGCACAGTGAGGCAATTACACAGCGAGCGTTTTGTGTGCAGTAGGGGGGAGTGGACAAAAACAAAATTCAAAAAAATCAATTTATAGCTTGCCCGCTCAAAAAATATGACATTTTTAGGATTGCAAACTAGCAAAGTCTAAATACTCTGTTGCGCAATTTATAAGGATTTTACTTGTTTTTGTATTTGTTTTTATTAATTTTTACTCATTTAAGCTTACAATTATTCTAAATTCGTTCGTTTTTCACAACAACTATCTTGACCTGTTCTTAACATGGTTCGTTTTGATTAGTTTTGGGTAGGGTTGATGACTCATCCCCTTCTGGATTTAGCTGGGGCTTATTAAGCATTGAGCCAGTTTTTAGTTGGGAAGCCAGCTTTCCCGATTGAGGGAGGGAGAAGGGGGTTACCTTCCTTTTTTTTAACCCATTCTATTTACAGCGCGAAGTTATTTCCATTCATGTTGGCCAAGCTGGAGTTCAAATTGGAAATGCTTGTTGGGAGCTTTATTGCTTAGAGCATGGAATTCAGCCAGATGGTCGTATGCCTTCTGAACAATCGGCGCAGGATGATTCGTTTTCGACTTTCTTCTCTGAGACTGGAAATGGACGGCACGTTCCTCGTGCAGTGATGGTGGATTTGGAGCCGACTGTTATAGGTTTTTTTGAACCTTTAATCACTAAACTAATTTTCTCTTTTAAAGATGAGATTCGTACTGGGACATACAAGCAGCTCTTCCATCCAGAGCAGTTGATCACTGGGAAAGAAGATGCAGCCAATAACTATGCTCGCGGACACTACACTGTTGGAAAGGAAATTATCGACCCAGTTTTGGACCGCATTCGTCGCATCGCTGACAACTGCCAAGGACTTCAAGGATTTTTGATCTTCCACTCTTTTGGTGGTGGCACTGGTTCTGGGTTCACATCTCTTCTTATGGAGCGTCTTTCGGTTGATTATGGAAAGAAGTCGAAGTTGGAGTTTTCTATCTATCCGGCGCCGCAAGTCTCCACAGCTGTTGTTGAGCCATATAATTCTGTTCTTACAACTCATACGACGCTGGAGCATTCTGACTGTGCGTTTATGGTTGATAATGAGGTTAATCAAACGTTTATTAATTGATAATCATGCTCTTTCTAGGCTATTTATGACATTTGTCGTCGCAAGTTGGATGTTGAGCGACCTTCTTACACCAATCTCAACCGTCTTATCTCGCAGGTTCATTTTCTAGTTATTTTGAAGTCTATTTTTAAATTTTAGGTGGTCTCTTCCATCACGGCTTCTCTCCGTTTTGATGGCGCGTTGAACGTTGATCTCACTGAATTCCAGGTTTTCTATCTATTTTGATTACTAATCTTCAAACAATTTTATCTTTCTAGACCAATCTTGTCCCGTATCCACGCATCCACTTTCCACTCGCTACTTATGCGCCTGTAATTTCTGCAGAGAAGGCATATCACGAGTCTTTGTCTGTTAGCGAGATTACTCAAATGTGTTTTGAGCCGTCGAATCAAATGGTCAAGTGTGATCCTCGACATGGAAAGTATATGGCTGTTTGTTTGCTTTTCCGAGGTTTTTTTGTATTAATTTTTTGCTTGATAATTTTTAAATGTTATAGGGGACGTCGTTCCAAAGGATGTCAATCAAGCAATTGCTACCATCAAGACTAACCGTTCAATTCAGTTTGTGGACTGGTGCCCGACAGGTTTTAAGGTAAAAATTTGTTTCAGTAAATGAACTTGGGTCTTTTTGGGTTGTGGATGAACTTTATGTTTATACATTATATGTTTTTCTTTTCAGGTCGGTATCAACTATCAACCACCAACTGTTGTTCCTGGCGGTGACCTTGCCAAAGTTCCTCGCGCTGTCTGTATGCTCTCCAACACTACAGCCATTGCTGAGGCTTGGGCTCGTCTCGACCACAAATTTGATTTGATGTACGCAAAACGTGCATTCGTTCATTGGTATGTTGGTGAAGGAATGGAAGAAGGAGAGTTTTCTGAAGCTCGTGAAGATCTTGCGGCATTGGAAAAGGACTATGAAGAAGTTGGCATGGATTCGGCTGGTGGAGAAGATGCCGATGAATATTAAAGGAAATAAAGGGAAATAAAAGACGCATAACAAAAAAATTTAAAAAAGCAACTTTATATAATTTGACCTTTTTTTCTTTACACACTCCATGCTTGTTTGCCGTATTTACGATCTTGCTTTATCATAAAATATTTGTTTTTGGTGATGCCTATTTTAGAGAAAAATTTGTTGTCCTGCTTTTATGCTTATTTTTATTCTGATAAATGGCAATTTATGGTAAATAATGAAAAAATAGGAAAGTGATACAATCTTTATAAATTATGCACTTTACGGAAAAATTAAAATGATTAAATAAAAATGGCAAAATTCTTTTGGATAGGTTTGAGGGATCCGAATTTCCCAGTATCCTCAAACTATTTTTGAAGCCGAGGGAGTTGTTTATAATGGATAGGGAATGGTGCCGTGTCTGGCTATGGTCCGGAGCAGGCTTCGGCAGAGCTAATATTCTGGAAACTCCGTAGCTAAACTTTTTCGATTTCTCATTGCTCCGGCACCAGTCGTTAGGAGGAAACTCCGAAAGACTGGTGAAACGAAAAGTGAGCGAAAGAAGGAATGGACGGAGAGATTTCTAGCTTTAAGGAGCTTATGAAACTTTAGAGTTTTGATTCATTTAGCAATCTTTCAAAAAATAGATGACTGGCCGGAAACCCGATTCGGCTCTACTCTAGTTTATGCGTCCAATCGAATTTTATGCGTCCAATGAAAGTTTATGCGTCCAATCAAACTTTATGAGTCCCATCAAAAAATAATTGGATTTTTCTTGGTATTGCCAGGTTGGGGTATGGGTCCAAAGCATTTCTTCATGTTCGGGACCTACGCCCACTGGGTCAGGGACCGTTCCTTACCCTATACCTCGAAATTTCAGAGAGTTATAGCCAATTTTTAGAAATTCCGGAAAAACAATTATAACCTTCCGAAATTTCGAGATATAGGGTAAGGAACGGTCCCAGACCCAGTGGGCGTAGGTCCCGAACATGAAGAAATGCTTTGGACCCATACCCCAAACTGGCAATATCAAGAAAAATCCAATTATTTTTGATTGGACTCATAAAGTTTGATTGGACGCATAAACTTTCATTGGACGCATAAAATTCGATTGGACGCATAAACTGGAGTAGAGCCCCCGATTCTTGTGTATAGAGTTGTCGATTATTGTAAAATCTTTGGATATCCTCCGAAGATGTTTGTCTGCTTCGAACCGACAACCCTACGTGCATATAAAAAATAAATAGCATTAAATAAAATTTAAAATAAATACATAAAATTGAACTACAAAATTAACAAAGAATTGCTTAAAAAGGTTTTTTGTAGTTGAAAGGTATGAACAGAATAAATAAATTAATGTTGAAAGGGGGACTTCAATATTTTCATTAAAATTTAATCAAAAAATTATCTTAATGAAAAATTCAAGTTATATATATATATATATTTTTTAAATAAAACAAAACCCCTTTCCAACATTTACATAATTAAATTATAAACAAATAGGTATATTAGCGTGCCTAAATATGAGACCAAAAAAATAATTTAACAATGTCACAATTTTTGGTATTTTTCAGTTGGAAAAAGATGTAGAAGAGAATTATGCTTCTTTAATTTAGACAGCAGAGATTCGGGACTCTGAGAAGGCTACATGAACAGCTGCTTCATACGGACTCTAAAAAATAAATTGAATTATTTTATTTTTAAGTTTATGTCAGGGATGTGCCAAGTGGAGGAAAGAATTCCCGAGGGAGGGGGGGGGGGGTGACGCTAAAAATTCTTTTGATTCTGGGATCCAAAAATTTCAAGGGATGTGCCGGGGCGCCAAAAATAGTTAGGTCAGGTACCTAAAAATTTTCTCGAGTCTAAGGGGATCGAAAAAGTCAAAATTTCAAAAGCCCCGGGCACATCCCCGATTTTCTAGGTGAGGGAGAAACCAAATTCGTGATTTTTCTCTGTTCCCTCTTTCAAACAACGGCCTCCCGACTCATGTAAATCGTCATTGGAGGTGGCTCAGAAGCCAAAGACACACTCGGTGGGCGCATTACCTCATGGCCATTGCTTCCTCCAAAAAGTTGTCTGTTTGCATTTTCATCATTATAAGAATCATGTACTCTAAAAAAGAAGGGCAAATTTTATTTTATATTAAAATTATAAATTAATTACCCGGCTTTTAAATTATCTGTAGAATATTGCTGACCGTCTTTCATCCCTTTTAAAAAATTTAAATAAAAATTTAGTCTCTAAAATATTTTTAATAGGGTTTAGGGGATGTTCAGCTAATGCGATAGCGTGATAAAAGATCTTGAAAGATAGTTAGCTCAAAATATTTTTTAAGGATATTCACAAAATAGTGTTAACCAGCTCCTTTAAGAATTTCAAATGTGAACGAGTAATTGAGAAATAAATTATAATTTCTAGAAAAATACTTGTTCATTCAATAAAAATTCTTATTAAGAGAAACTCTTAGGTGATGAATTGAGGTATTGGATTATGAAGGTCAGATTAGTCAAGTTTGGTATAATTCGATAAATCTTGTAGATTTTTACGGTCTTCCGCTATTTTAAACCCTTTTGCTTCACGTTAAGCTTTCTTAAAATGAGGCAAGAAACGCAGCAGACTTGCCTGATCCCATCTCTGTTTTGTTCTAATTTAAAACAACTTACTATAAAAACAAAGCAAATTCTTCTTCATACAATAAATAACAGAACAAGAGAAAAGTATGCCTAAAGCGGCAACTGTTAGCCAAACAGCCCATCCAGGAAAGCTCCCCATTTGAGAGGCGTCAACGCCTAATAAATCACCAAGAGAGACGGGAATACTAAAAAGAATTTTTGAAAAAATTATTTTATTAATTTTTAGTTTATTTGAAAAATGCTTCGTAGCAATTTTAATTTTCTGAGTTTATCGTATTTTCTTAAATAATTATTCTAATTATTTGAATCTAACAAAATGCAAAATTAGTGCATTGTTTATTTCCAGTAATCATGGCCGTGGTCCTAAATTTTAACGCCGAGAGTAACTGCCAATTTTTCAAATTATTAAAATACGCCAAAAATCAGCCAAAAATTAACGTCAAACGACTAAACTAAACACCGTGACTCTCGGCCCTGCTAGTTTTTAGTTTCAATCTCTATTTGAAGGGAGAAGAGGTAATTAATTAGAGAGAGGGTAATAATCGAGAAAATACTCATATTAATGGCTAAATGGATATTTATTCTGAAAGGACTAGGAAGCATCTTTTTTCTAAAAAATTCCCAAATTTTCTTCACTCAACTGTTTTGTCCCAAATTGGTTTTGTACTCTAAGAACAATTTGCCTTCCTTGATCGTCTTCTCTAACTGGGGCAATTCTTAATCTTGCAACAAAACAATTTGGAACTGTATTGTTCTGAATAACGTTGTCAAAAGTAAAGTGTTGAAATTGTTGACCTAATTGAATATCATTCCCGTCAATTGTAAAGACTAACTGAAAAATAATTTTTTTGGAAAAATCTTTTTAAAAAAAATTCTCGACCTCTCTAGGCGGCCGAGGACTTGGTTCAGCACAAAAATGAACTAATACAATAGCACTACTTCTATCTTCTGGTTGTTCAACAGAAGGCTCTACTTCTGACATTTGTGGTGCTCTTAAAAGGTTATCGAATATACCAAAATTCAACAAGTCCTTTACCCTTGCACTTGTAGATTTAAAAGTCTTTCTCCAGGAGTATCCAATCCTGGAGAACATTCTGGAAATCCTTGAGAAACATAAGAACAAGCCGAGCACCAATATTGCCCAGAAAATGAATAATTAGCTACATGAAGTATACACGAAGCTTGTAAACGAATTAAATTTGTTGTTGGTTGAACTGGGGGAGGAACAACAGCTCCGTTTTGTGGGCCTCCAGTGACTAATGCTGCTGTTTCTCGATATTGACCGTTTAATCCCTAGAAAATATTTTTATTAGAAAGAGAAAAATCTCTAGGTTATTCAACTATTTGAGCTGTCTCAGGCTGGGATAATGACAAAAATTGGGATACAGGGGAGAGAGAGAAAGGTCAAGGATTTTAATTTATGGAGATGGGTAACTGAGAGATTCTTGAAATAAGATAGATGGGGGCAAAATGTCTATATGAAAGTAAATTTAGAAAAATCACTTGTGGGCAAGCAGCATCCACAACGGCCCCATTTGGACGTCTTAACTTCCAAAATACGACGGGACGTGGATTGCCCTCAACAAGACAGTTTAGTTGAACACTTTGACCCATTTCAACACGATTGCCCGATTGAAAAGGAGTGCTGGATTGTGCTTGCTAAAAATTTGAAATTTTTCAATCCAATTTCTTAAAAAAATTTTCAAGACCTGAAAATTGTCTTGTAAAAGCCTTGCAGCAGTGTAAGGGTCAATCGAAACAGCTTCAGACTTTAGCGGATTCTCCTCCGCATAAAGTCCATTGTTTGCTGCACATTGAAGGGAATGACCAATCATTTCAGTTCCTTCAGTTAAAAATAAAATTCCTTTTTAATTACTATTTTCTTTAATAACCTATAGTAATTTCAGGCCCGTTTCCACTAATAACCTGTCCATTTTTGAGCCAACCAAATTTATTGGCTGGAGGATTAGCTTGGACTGCACAGCGAAGAGTTTTACGCCTTGCACTAGGTTGACAAAGACCGTCTTGACCTCTGACACATTCCACATAGAAATGAAAGCCCTAAATGATAAATTTTTAAGTTCAGCAAATGCCTGCAAAATATATCCGCAAGTGTTTATCCACTGTCCGCAAATTATTGCGGACAAAACTTGCGGATTTTCCAAATTAAAATTTTAAAAATAATTCCACACCTGATTAGGAATTAGCACAGGCCCCTGTCCACTTGTATCAACAACATGTACATTACGTAAATAACGAACTTCAATAACCGAAACGGGAGAATCTTTAGTCCCTCCATTAACAGCTGCTTGACACATTATACTGGCGCCAGTCCAAGCTGGATTAGCATCTATACTGGGCAGAGTTACTGTCTGAAAATTTTTTAGAATAATTTTGAAGAAATGGAGAGATATAAAATTAAATATCTTAATATCTTTCCTCATTAAAAGTTAAGAAATATGTAGGGAATTGAAACTTTATATGTATCGGCACTTTGTCTCAATCCTCAATCTTCCCTGCTATATAATAAGTATATTGAAATAAGCGGTCACCATGTTCTAATTATATTTTACTATTTTTGGAACAAATCGCAGAAACATTTCTATGTTAAAAATAGAAAAACGGTGTCTGCATCAAATGAGTACAAACTGCTTTTTAACTTTAATTTTTGTATTAAATAGGAATTTTCACATAAAAATCTTTCGACTTCCAAATCTCTTTTCACTTCTTCGCATTTTTTAATGCAAGCTTTTAACATCAAATTTAAATAATCAACACAACAATTATTTAGTTGTCTTGTCTCAATCCTCAATCTTTTTCTATTCAAAGCTTTTTCAATTCTTTTTTCATTCACAAATTTCAAACAAAAGAGCAAAAACAACAAAAAATATAAAAACAATACAAAATCATTCCAACAATTTTATTTATTGTTTAGGTCAACCCCCTTCCAACAAACACAAAATGTGTTCAAAAAAAGAATTAGTATTTTCTATATTTATTTATTTCCTTCCCAATGTGCACAGGTGCAGAACTAATTAGTAGGTTTTATGGCTTTAGAGGGAAAAGAGAGAGGAGAATTCTTTTTTCTGGTAAAATTAAAAAGTAGATGACCGACTGAAAGAAAAATTAAAAGGGAGAAAGGTCACCCAAACAAAAATATTTTTTGTTCTCGCCCAAAATAAAAATACATAATGCCAAGGTTTCCCGAATTTTATAGTTATGGTTTCCTTGGAAAGAGGGAGTGGAAAAAAAAGATTTTTGGGGGAAGGGGGGGGATTTATTGGCGACTAAATATAAACAAAATTGGGAGTACTTATTGTTGTTGACCTTGACTGACCTTTATATTTATTTATTAGAATAATTACAAAATTTGAAGTCGAGAAAGAGACAAGGAAAACAATTAAAAAGAACAAACTAATAATTAAAAAATTTTTGAAAAAACTTCTGGATATTATTAAAATTTCAAGAATCTTGAAACATTAATGTTAACAAGGTCACTTAGTCGGAGAGATGTCTAACTAGGAAAAGATTAATTTACTAAATAGCAAAATACAATCAAAGTGCCGACACAAAGAAAAAAACCCCCCAAAATCAAAGAAACGACAGAAAAAAGCCAGAAAAAAAATTACCGGAAATCCAGTTTCGTGTGTCATATCCTGTGCTCTATTTAAATAATCAAACCTTAAAAACAAAATTTAAATTTTTTGAAATTTAAAATTTTGTTAATTTACATGTCTGTAATATTTCTCTGTGCACAATCAACACATATAAAACGTAATTGAGAGACTGGCTAAAAAGGATAGAAATTAATTTTTTTTGTGGTTCATTTTCATCAGAAATCACGGAAATCTCCTCCATCTTTTACCCTCATCCCCCTTCTCGCAAGGAATAACTCAAAACTTTGGATATTTGAAAATCCGGGATGGAGGATAAGACAGAGATTCTTCTACTCCCTTACCGATTCGCTAACACAAAAAATCCTTTCATTTGCAAATCTACCAACAACAGTAAAAACCATTTGAGGCAAATGTTGAGCCAAAGAAACGTGTAAAGGAAGGGAGGTTATTTTAACTTGGAGAGAAGAAGGCCCTGAAGGTGCCATTAAATGTTGCTGACCTTTTTTTAAGGAAGGAAATAATTTTTAAAATAATTTTCTAAATTAAAAATCACCTTTAGACTGATTAAATAAAAATAAACAAAAAATAATCCTGAGAAGTGAAGAAAATTTAAATTTGGGGGAAAATAATAAATTTAGAGAAGAATTCATTTTGTGTTGTTTTTGATGGAAACAAGAATGATGATATTCTTATTTTTCTAGCTCCTTTAGAACTTCAAACAAAAGTAAAGAAAATCAGAATAAATTAAAAATTGTTCTGTGAAAAAAAATAAAAACATTAAAATAGTCTAATTAGAGAGGAACAACAACCAGAACATTTAAAAAATCAGAATTTTAATTCTAATTCTAATCAGAATTTTAATTCTAATATAAAAACTCTTTTTCTCTTAGTAATCAGAATTAAAATTCTGGTTTTAATTATTAACAATCATACACCTATTACTAACTTTATTATTTCAGAATTGTAATTCTGATTTTTATTCTATTTCCAGAATTCTGATTTTTATTGCTTTTAAAACAGAATAAAATTTCAGAATTTACGAATTATTTAAACCAGAATAGCAAATTAAATTCTGAAATTTTTGTTTCTGAATGAGCGCAAGTTTTGCGTTATTTACGTCTTTTAATTGGCTCTTTGCGCTCTGCTCTGGTTCTGAATTTTTTTTCAATTAAAAACTTGAAGATAACGAAAGAAACAAAAAAATATTTAATTATTTAAAAAATTTAAAATAATTATTTAATTCAAACGCGCAAATTTAATACAAAATTAAAACAAAAAAAAATAAATTTAAAATTAAAAATTCCATTTAACGTCTCTCCAATTAAAACAATTAATCTCCTCTCATTAAAGAGAATCACCTCCTTCTCTTTTTTTTTAAATTTTCTTCGAAAAAAATAAATTGACACTTTATTTTTGTGTCAAATCTTTAAATAAATAAATGATATATTTATTTATTTGCGTTGCCTTTTTAATCAAAAAAATTTTTTTTCAACTATTTTTATTGGAGAAAAATTAAAATAAATAAATAATAATATAATGATTGCTCTCCTCGCATATTTTGCGCACAAAAAGAAAGAAATAAAAATAATTTTAGTGATAAGAGATTTTTTTGACATTTTTGGATTTAATAATAATGAATTTTATAAAAAATTTTAAGAGATTATAGTTGAATAATTATAGTTTAATAATTATATAATAATTATAGTTGAAGTACAAATTAGGGAAAGATTGAGGTTTGATAGAAGCTCAAAAATCCCAACACAAAGATTTTTAAAATTTGTTTTTGATTCAATTTTAATTTTTATTCAACTACAACTGCATTATTCTTTAAAATTTAAAGAAAGGACTGTACACAACAACATAGTTTCTTAGAATCTTTCAAGTATTCTCTCCTTAATTCTTTTTGTCTTTACAAATTTTCTGCATTTAACCAAAAAATTAAAAAAAACTTTTCCATTTAATTTTCATTCACACATTTCTATTCAAAAATTATTAAAATCGATCAGAAAAATAAATAAAATAAAAATAATGCTTTGAAGAATTATTAAAGAAAGAAATGATATTCACACACAAACAAATATTTATGTTGCGCGAATAAGATTGAACACCAAAAAAAATTTGAATGGATATATTTTGCTGCTAGATAAAAAACCTTTCATTTTTTTTAAATTTCATATAACAATTAAACAACCAATCCTCAGATTTCTTAAAAGTTCAAAAATGCTTGAGATTTTTTTTTGGAATAAGAAAAAGTGTCCGTCTGCAGACAGGGCAAATTTGGGGGAAGAAAAAACCCAAGGAAATTATTTTTAGAAAATAGAAAGAGTTTCCGAGGATTAAAAAACAAAATTTTCTGGGGGAAAAGAGCATACTTGACCTTTTTTGAAGATAAAAAAACTAATTTCCTCCTTTCACTGATATGTACTCCTTCCAAAACAGATTAAGTGTCTGTCTGTTTGATGGACACTTAAAAAATATTTATTTTTTAATTTAAAGTTAATCATTAAAGTGTTACTCTTAAGCCATTTCCCTCCCCTTCAAGCAGAGGTGGGTTGGAACAGTCAGAGGTGTCGGAAATCGGAACTGGCTCAAATGTCGGAACTTGGAAATCGGAAAACAAAATTTTTTAGGAAATCGGAAGGAAAAAACGTCGGAAATCGGAATTCCGACTCACCTCCCCTTTCAAGGTAAAAGGGAGTATCAAGAAGTGCCAGATTTGGTCTTTCTACTTCCCCCCCCCCCCCCCCCCCAATTTTTTCTATTTTAACGATCGAAAAAATGGACACAAAATTTGTTTAATTAAATGAATAGATTGAAGAATATAAAAATTAAAGAATAAAATAAATAAATTTGAGGAATGTGAAAAGCGTGGAGAGAAAATAAAAAAATCTTTTCTTTGCCTCGATTGACTCAAACAAATGCGCGACGATTGCAATTTTGATAGAATTAATGAGGGCAGTTATAAAATATAGAAGAGGTGTAAAAAAATAAATTGAAAGGGAGAGAGGGAGGAGGATTGAAGATCTACTAAACAGATAAAAATAAAAATATATATGCATGAAAATCTGTGTGTGATGATGATTGGAAGTTGAAAAATTGAAAAAAAAAGTTAAAGGGATGAAAAGAATTATTTTGTTGAAGTGAGGATTATTTTTTGAAAAAAGAAGGCAAAAAGAAAAGACCTTGGGAAAGGGAAGAGAGTCATTAAGGACGAGGAACAGTCATTAGGGAGGAAGAAATGGATAAGAAGACTGGAAATTAATATTTGAATTTTGTAGTGTTCCTCAAAAAGATTGAGAGATGATCTTGCAGATTGGGGGATGATCTTGGGGTAAACTTATCTTAGCAATTAAGGTTGGCGGATCTTGTGTTGGCGGATCTTGTGTTGGCGGATCTCCACCAACCTTACTAGTAATCCATATCTATATTCAGTACTTCAACTTATTTTATATGTACATAAGTAGTAGAGTTTCAGCGGAAGTTTCGGCTCCGGTGCCGGAAAGTTCCGGCGTTTTTTGGTTCTGGTTCCGGGAATCAGAACTAAAATTAGATCCGGTTGGTCAAAATTTCGGTTCCTGTGAAACACTAATAAGTAGAAGAAATGGTTATAAAGGAGTGAAACAGAGAGACAGGAGGGGTGGGATAAGATGGAAATTGTTGATTAAGATGAGTTGCCTATTAAGGAGATTTAAATGAGAAAAGTCGAAAATTAGTAGAAGTAATTACTAGGGCGTGTAATTATATGGAAATCCATATTTTTTTCCTGAATTCCTATAACTATGAAACGTACGAAAAACATGTTTTTGGCCTGTTTTAGGGTTTCTAGAATGGTCTTTATAATCCATATTTTCCATATTTTTCAATATTTTGGCATTATGTCCATATTTTCCATATTTTGTCCATATTTGGTCATTTTTTGGTAAATTTTACTAAAAATTGGCGAAAATTTTCAAAATTTTGGAAATTTTTGGTCTAAAAATTTTTTTGAAAATTTTTCGGAAAAATTTATTTTCAAAAAAATTTTAACGGAAATTTTAAATCCATAAAATCCTTTAGAATGTTCTTAAAATGGAAAGTTAAAGGTAAAATTATTGTTTTCTACATAAAATACTGATTTTAAAAATATCTTTTCACTATTTTTTTATCCATATTTCAGGATTTTATATCAATATTTAGTGTTTATTTCCATATTTATATCCATATTTCGGGATTTTATATCCATATTTTATGGCCATATTTTTCGATTTTATATCCATATAATTACACGCCCTAGTAATTACTGTGAAATAGGAAAATTAAATTTGTGTCTTCGTGTAGAACGATGAATAACCACACACTGTGTGTACAAAAGAATTTTGACAAAAATAATCACCAATTTAGCCAACTCTGTTATTGATCGATCAGAATAATGTAAAGAGGGGAATAATTCGTGCATACAAAAATATTTTATTAAAAGGGTAGAGCAAAAGGCAAAAATGTCGGCGAGGGGCTTTTACTCTTTTTTTCTAATCATCCGCTTTCTGTGTGACACATTGGGTGGCCAATTGGTAAAATTGTGGATAGAACAAATATTTAGTATTTTGTACGGGAAGGCCTTGAATGTGTGCATTGAAGAAAAAATGGTCAGAAAATAAGGGGGAAAGGTAAGAAGAAACCGGCGGAATGGACGAAAAATGCAAATGTGAAGGTAAAGGGAAGAGGGATGTATATATAAATGATTGTGGGTGTGTTGTTCTTCAAAATTGTAAAAAAAAAGACGAGGGAGAGTAGTAGGACACAGACCACAGGTCAACGGGCATAAAGGACAAAAAAAGGAAGAAAATTGAGGGAGGAGGATGCAATCCGCGCAGGAGTGAAGGGAAAGCACGAAGAATTTTTGAGTGAAGCCAAGTCTCGTTGGAAAGAAAATTTTTTTCTGCGCAGTTTTGCTGCAGGAGGGGGGGGGGGGGGTGGAAGAGGGGATTCTCAGGTAAGTGGTGTACTCTTCAAATATTCCCCCCCCCCTTCACTCCCTTCACTTTCACTCTCTCCTCTTTTTTACTTTTCTCTAATTTTGCCAATCCATCGATGGCATAAATATTAAAGCAAATAAACCTCTCTTCTACCTTCATTTTTAGAAAAAAAACTCGTTAACTGGCGGAATAAATGATTTTTTATTATTAAAAATCCGTTGGGAAGGATTTGGATAAGCTTCTTTGACCATTATTTAACCCTTTAATTTTATTTTCTGAAAATCTGAATGAGACAGGGTTGATCCAGCAGATGCTCAGATTTAAAGGAAAGGACGGCTTTTGTTTTGATATTAGAAGGAAGAAAATTAAAAAAAGAGAAAATAATTTTAAAAGAAATTTTTTTAACTAAATTCAGCTGTGTTTTTTACTAATTTGTAATCGCATAGTAGTAAAGGTACTCGAAATTTAAGTTTATTTTTATTTTTCATATAGTAGTTGAATTTTCTTTCCTTTTTTGAGCTCATATCTGGAAATATTTTTTGCTTTTTTAAGGATCACCTCAAGATCATCTAAAATTAGAAGCCCGAATATGCAAAAAGGTGTTTAAAAAAGTTTGTCTAAAAATGCTTGGATAGAAGCTTTTAATGTATAATTTTGCATAATTTTTTAATGGATGGAAAAATATGGATAGATTAAGGAGAAAATAAAGGAGAGAAGAAGCCAAACAGAACAATTAAACGGAAAGTTTTTTTACATGCAACTTTTCTTCCTTTCTTTTGTCCGTTCCTTTTTTGTATGACCATTAGACAATATTTATTTGTCTGAGCCGTCCACTTCACACCTCTTCCTCTTCCCTTCCATTACCTTCGGATCACATTAAAAACAGCAAAAAAGGCATATTTTCCGTTTAAAAAACCGAAGCATTATTTATGACTAGAAGAGAATTGAAGGGGAGAATATTCGCCTGAGGGAAAGACGACGAAAAAGCGGCTTTTTGTAGCTATAAAAAGAAGAACAGATAAAAGGTGTTTTGTTTGTTCTCTTTTGGGGTTTGAGAAATGAAAAGTTTGAAAAATTAAATAAATTAAAGTTTTGTGTTAGAGAAAAGAAAGTTGGAAAAATATGTAAATTTATCGTCAAGTTTTAACGAAATGAATAAAAAAAGTTGGTAATTTAAAATGTTTAATTTAAAGAATGAGAAAAGTTTAATTTAGGTTAGAGAATCAGAAAAATTAAAGTTTTAAGTTTGAAAAAAGTTGGAAAAAAAAGTTGGAAAAAAAGTTAGAAACTAAGTTGGAAACTAAGTTGGAGAAAAAAAGTTGGAGAAAAAAAGTTGGAGAAAAAAAGTTGGAGAAAAAAGATGGAAAAAAAGTTGGAAAAAAAGTTGGAAAAAAAGTTGGAAACCAAGTTGGAGAAAAAAAGTTGGAGAAAAAAAGTTGGAGAAAAAAAGTTGGAAAAAAAGTTGGAAACTAAGTTGGAAAATTAAAAATAATTAAAACTTGAAAAATTAATTCCAAAAGATTACCAAAGTTTAAATCAACATTTGTATATTTTTTGGTTATCGATCTTTCAGTAGTTTGATTTTACATAAATGTTCAAAAACCTGAAAGAGAACAGAAGAAATGAATTGGAAAATTCAAAAAAGACAAAAGAAGAAGTGTTCAAAAACTAACAACTACAAAGGGAAAAGCAAAAAATATTTTTGTAAAATTTTTGTGAATAAAATTGAAGAAGAATAAAAATTTATATTTGATAAAAATAAATGTTTAAAAAATTATTTTTATTTTAATAATTTGTTTAAAAATATTTAAAAATTATTAAAATATTTATTTATACTTTATCAAGATTAAAAAAATTTGTTTCTCTAATAAAAACAACTCAAAACTTATGACTGAAGATTAAAGAGTTCCACAAGATAATTTTTACTCAAATAATTTATTTTTATAATTTTTACTCAAATTTTTATTCAATTTGTGAAATTTTCTAAAGAAAAAACGTGAGAGCAAGACAGACAGAAAAACCAACTAAAAGCTTTTAATTCAAGTGATTGCCAAACCGATTTTTCGGTTTCGGGGGTACAGAAAGTATGTAGCGAGTCGGTACTTTCGGGAGTACCTTACCGAACGGGAGTACCTTTGTAGTACCAAACCATGTCAACACTACTCAGAACTAATAGTATCCATTTTCTGCTGGACAGTATAGCTAAACAACCAACATCCAGAAATTTGTTCTCCTAATTCCTGATCCATAACCAGTCAACTACATATAATTCTATTAAAACTTTTATTTAATAAAATTTCTAAAAATTTGTAATATCAAAAACATTTAGAAAAACTTTTTTCAACCTTTTCCAAGAAAAAATATAAACTTTAACAAACAAATAAACAAACTTGGCGCATCTTTCCAACAACATTTTCTCCCCCCGCCTGTCTATTTTTGCTTAAAAAATACATTAAAAATACCAACAAAACCTTTTACGCTATTACGAATTTTTTTCGTTCATTGGCTTTATTTTTTTTCTCTTTGGTCATTTTTTAAAGATTTTTTCCTTTTTTTGGTTTATTTTTATATATTTTTATTTATTTCTGGAAAAGGTAATCATCGACATTTCCGTTTATTTTTTGATGGACAGAAACTAAAAAAAGCAATCGGACAATTAACAAAATAACAAGAAAGAGGGGGGGGGGGAGAGGGGGGGGGGAAGGGGAAATGCCCCTCTTTAATTCTCCATTTATTTTCTTTCCCTTTTACATAGTACCTTCAAGTTTATTTAATATAATCAGAATATTTATATAATCAGAATTAATATCAGAATTTTAATTAAATAAGCCTTTTTATAGTTGTCTATTTATTTTCTCTTCAAGTTTATTTTTATCTAAAATCAGAATTAAAAATCAGAATTTTTAATTAATTCAGTTCAGAATAAAGTTTTATTTTCAAGTTTTATTTTCAATATATTAAACTTGTCCCAGACATTTTTTTAAAATTTTTTTTGCTAGAGACAATTTTGTTGTTCCTAATCTGTCCGCAAATGTAAAAACTAACTTAAATTATCACTCCCTATTTTTAGTAAAAAAGGAAGTGATGATCTCTTTATTATTTATTTTATTCAATTTATTACTAGTCTTTTTCTTCCCTTCAAACAAAGCTTTTACACATCCAGAACCCAAAATTTGGATTTGCGAGGGGCACATACTTTTCCCTTCATTTCTGCCCAAACAACAATTTTTAGAATATAATTGGGAACAACAATTACAGCCATATCAAGGCATAATTTAAATATTTAAAATCAGAATTAAATCAGAATTTATCTTTTTTTAATTGAAGCTTGTAGGGGGATATTAATAAAAAATTACGATTACTTTTAGTTAACTGACCATAACTTTCTGGGAAATGTTCAGATCATCATGGTCCCATTAAGTAAAATCAAGCTCACATTTAGAGCTTTCGAATGATATATGACTTAACCGAAAAAGATGAGTTTTAAAAAAGTAATGAATTAAAAAAGAGCCAAGGCATTTATGTACAATTAATTGCTTTCTCTCATTTTCTTTAATTAAAATTTTTTTTCAAATTTTCTAAAGGCAAGATAATGATTGGAGGAGCATATAGTTTAGTATTAGAAATGCCAACTTTTGGTCGTTGGGATGTTTTAGTAGAAAGTTGCACTTGCAATGGAGTTTTTCAATTTTTACAGGGAGGAGGTTGTTTTCGAAGGGATAATTTTTGGTTAAATAAAAATGAATGGAGAAGTGAAACAAATAAATATATTGGTATTTGAGAATTAAAATTAATATTTTAATTAATTCCTTTTAGTTGTTCATTTTGTAGCTCCCCAAACTTTGTTAAAATTTGACTGTCAAACACTTGTAGTTAAATGCTGTGGTTGTTGTGATGTTTGAATTTTTATTTTTTAATAATTAATTTTTATTAAAAATTTAAAATGAATTATGAAAGGCTTTCCATTTTAAGAATTTTCCAATATTTTCTTTCAATATTTTTTAAAAATAAATTCATATAAGGCATCAATAAGCCATAATAATCAAGCGTTGATTAAAGCTTAGGTGATCTTTTGGATTTTTATTTTTCCAAGATTTATTTCCAACTTCTTCCAAACTTTTCTCTCCTTTCTTTGCCTCCTTTCAAATATTTTTAAGGAAAAAAGAAAATTAAATTAAAAAAAAATAAAGGAAAAATTAAATTCATTTTCCTTTAATAATTAAAAAAATTTTTTTTTCAATTTTTTAAAGAATGCATGTGGCCGTCTTCCATTATTGGAATCATTCTCGTCTTTAGCTATGACAATTTCCTGCCAATACCCATTGCCCATACCTCCATCACCTCCTCTACTGCCTGCTCCAGTTCTTCCACCTTCTACTGGTGAATATTCTAGTGGGTGTTGGATGCCTTTTTTGTGGGGTGATTCTTGCCCTTCTAATGGAGACGGTTCCGTGACTTTTGCGCCGAGAACATTTGCGCCGCGACTTATGCGCCGCGACTTTTGCGCCGCGACTTATGCGCCGAGCGACTTTTGCGCCGGGGGACTTTTGCGCCGCGACTTTTGCGCCGGGCGACTTTTGCGCCGCCACTATCATTAAAAATATATCAATAACTACAGCCGGACCTCACATTAGTAGGGTTGTCGAATAGTTGGAAATCTTCGGATCTGATATCCGAACTGAAAATTTCGGATATCCGGCATTTTTCGGATCCGGATTTTCTAAACAATGGCGGCGCAAATGTCGCGGCGCATAAGTCGCCCGGCGCAAAAGTCGCGGCGCAAGAGTCGCGGCGCAAAAGTCGCCCGGCGCAAAAGTCGCGGCGCATAAGTCGCGGCGCAAATGTTCTCGGCGCAAAAGTCGTGATACCATGGAGACAATGATTCTTTTTGGCTTATTCCATTGTTTCTTTGCCTTTTGGCTCTACTTTTGATTTTATGTTGTTTATTGGCGTTGTGTATTTATTGGGCAATTAGAAGGCGAAAAGAACAGGGACGAATATTTCCACAAAAGAAGGTAGTTCACCGATAATAGAATTTAGTTATTAAAAACTTTTGGATTCTTTTGAACTATTCCAAACCTGAAAACATACGACAAAGCTGGAAGGTTATGATAATAACGAAAGTGACGGGAACTCAGAAAATACTGTGACTAGTTGGAGATGTGGGGAGGGTATTAGGAGGGTATTAGGAAGACTATTTAGTCAAATCCTTAATAATTAAATAATTAAAGACAAATGATCCCAAAACCCCCTGTGATTCGTGGCATAATTTCAGAGAGTGTACCATTTCTATAAATATTTAGTATCCTATCTCTTCAATTGAAATTAAGGAAGAATTGCCACAACCTTCACCAGTACCACCACCAATTCCATCACCTCCTCCTCCACCACTCCCAAAAGATCGAAAAATATTTTCTACAGACCAATCAGCTCAAACAACAGCAATATCTCCACTTTCTCCAACAAAAACCATTAACGAATCTGGAATTGATTATTTTGATGCTAGCAGAAGAAATCAAAGATTAATAGATTCTGGTAATGGGTTTGAACGTTTTGAACATCATGCAGCACTTCCAATAATTCCAACATCTCCGTGGTTTAGTTGGTCTAGAGAAGAGGAAGAGATTGAAGAAAGGGAAGAAGAATGGAGAATGGAAGATAAAGAAGGAAGAAATAAATTTAGTAGACAATCGTTTAATCCCCCACCACCTTATAGAGAAGAAAATAGGCAACAATATTATGGTTAGATTTTAATTGGGAAGGGGGGAGGGGGAATGTTTTTGTTGGAATCTTGTATCTAAGATTTTATAACAATTAGGGGCCAGGAAAATAAAACAATCGGACTTCGTTTTTGTATACCTCAAAAATGAGAGTATTTTAAATTGCGTGTTTGCTTGGGCAGCTCCTCGAGCCCAATTGCCAACCAAATTTAAATAGAATTTAAGCAAAAAGAAGACTGGATTATATTTAAAATTATTTTCCATTAAATAGGATTTAATTCCTTCCATTTTCCCTCAATAAACTCAACATTATCCCACTACACCAAAGAGGCACTCTCTCGATATGGTTGGATTAACTGGGGCAGCTAGTTGCTGCATTGAATGATGCGATTTTTAAGACTTGAAAATCTTTAAAACTAAATTTTCTTTATTTTTGTGAAGCTTAAAAATACTTTTTTAATTAAAAAATCCTTAAAAATATTTTTTTCAAATTTTTAGAAAATTTTGGTGGTCGAGCAAATGTTGTTGGAACAAATTTGGAGGAAGAAGGATTTCGTCAAAAATTAAATGGAAGGAATGGAAGTACTAAATTTGGAGTCGAAAAGCAAATAGATACTGACGAAGAAGATAGAATGCAAATAAGAAGTGTTTCTCCAAAAGGAACAATTAGAGAATTGGATGAGAGAAGTCGATGGAAACGAACACTTTTTTGAGGGAAAATTAAAAAGAATTTTTTTAGTTGTTGTTAAAATTTAATGAATAAGTGATTAGATTGTTTTTTGTAAGAATAAAATATAAACCTAAATAATCATTGTTAAATAGATAAGAAATTTTTCTAAAATTTTCAATAGAATCTTTTAAAAACTAAAATATTACTTCGAAAATATTTTTTTAAATTTCAACTAGAATTTAGACAGAGATGAATTCGCCTGCGGCTTTTTCGTTGAGAGGATTTTTTTCAATTGAGAATTGTGAAGGATGATATAATTTTTGAAAAGTGTTTTTTCACTTTTTAGGAGAGAAGTCTCCAATTAATTTTTGAATTAATCACACTTGCAATAAAAAATACAATTACACACAAAAACAATTACACACACACACAATAGCAATAAAAAAGACGATAATTAAGAAAGTTTTAGATGATCATTAAAAACACAAATATTGATGATCAATAAAAAAATCACAATAATTATATACCTATACATACAAACTTCAACCACTTATATTGTTTTATTTATTTCCCTCTTTGTAGACAAACTCTCTATCGCCAAAGTTGAAGAACGCAGTGGCCCCAAGACCACGAATTGAGACAAAAGGAAAAGGTCCATCCACACTAAGAGGAATGCTGCGGCCTAAAATTTGAGGGAAATTACATTTTTTTAAATTCAATCACTCACCGATTTTCTCCCCATTAACACAAAAGTAGACATATTTACGGCGGTAATAAATACAATCAAGAAGCTGAGCCACTTCTTTAACTCCAACACCAACAGTACATTTTGAGGTAAATCCATCTTTCAAAATTTTTTTTTGGCGTGCCGTTGACATACATGTTCCCGTCGCTCGCAATAGAACACGAAGACGGTAAGAAGCCAACAAAGGCAGTTGAAGAATAATTCTTGATGGCCAGACCAACGGAAGCAAAACTAAATATCAATTTATTTTTAGAATAATTTTAAAAGAAATTACTCAAAATTGTCCAAACAAACTTCAAAATATTTGAAGTTCTTGTCATCAATTAAATTAGCTAACCCTCTGATATTAATATATTGGCTATCCTCATCTAAAAAATACAAATTTTTAAACAAATCAAGGGGTAATTCAAGACTTACTTATTTTCACTTGAAGTCCATTCTTAGACAAAGAATACTTGTCCTCAGCAGTAAACACAAACAATTTTGCTACGTTCCCGACCACAATTCTCTCAAAATTAGCTATTGAATTTTTCAGATTGTTTTTGTTGGTTGTAACAATTTCCAATCCTTCTTTAATCATCTGTTCTCCAACTCCAATTTTGGTGATATATTCCTTCATTTCAGTTATCAACTAAACGAAAAAATTGAAAATATTTTTGAAAAAATTTATAACCTGTTGAGAAGCTGCCTCCGTTGTAGTAGAGATCTGCACGTAGGACATCGGAGAAAAAAGGCTTTAAGAATAATCAACAATTATAAATAAATAGGTAGTTGAAACTAAAAAAGAAAAGGGTAAATGCTACTTTATGTCCCCCTTTTTTATTTTTTCCAAAATCTCAATCAAATTGCCTTTAACATATTATTAATCAGCAATGGATTAAATTTATTCAAACATTCAAAAATTAAGTTATATTTATGAAAAGTTATTTCCGGTTATGAAATCTAAGTTCCATGGTTCATTTTTGATTAATAAATTGCCTCAGGCAAATCGAGGGAAATTTTGGAAAAAATAAAAAAAGGGGAACACAAGCACACACACTTACCGAAATAGTACAAAATTATATTATGGATGTAAACCCAAATTTTAGCCTTTTATAGTAAAAAATTCAGGCTAAACAGCTTTAACAACGTGGAAAGGAAAATACGAGTGCGCTAGAGTGTCTATCTGGCAAGTTAGGCAACGCTGGGGGAAAAAAGACATCAAGTTTTTCCTCATAAATAAAAAAGAAGAGAGAGGAACCTGAGCAGATTAAAGTTGCAGGTAAAGTGACTGCCCTAGAGGGGTAGATAATTTTTTTTATCAATCATTAAAAATTAAAATTTGATGGAAAAAATATAAATCACAGGCCAAAATTCGCCTTTTTTTGCGCCGCAGGCGCAAAATTTGAAAATTTTGGAAGATTCTTAAGCAAAAACATAAATCTTTTTGGAATGTCCAGATCAGCCCAGTCCTTTTAAGAAAAAAAGTTCACATTTAGAGCAGTAAAGCAGCTGGGCTATAGCAATTTCTCTCCTTCAGCTTCATGTTCGTGAAAATAGCTTTTGAAGCGCTATACTCCCATTTTCCGTTGAGAGATTCGAGATATCGACGAAAAGGTTATCTACAGACTTCGTTCTTTTACTATTCTACTCGCTATCAATAGAAATGCTCACAGAAAATGTTGCAGATTTTTCAAGCATTTTTAATATGATAAACAAATTTTTATAAATGGTTTTATAATTTCTTAACACCCGTTTTCGATAAAAAACGACTGAGTAAAATATTTTCTAAGAATATAATATTTTCTATCATAATTATAATTTAAATTTTTTTCTTGAATAATTATCATATTTCAATCTTCAATAACTTCTTTATTATTTGTTTTAACAATGTCAATAGAAATCCTTTCATCTAATTCGTGTAATATTTCTATTGCATAATTATTTACAAAAAATTTTTGTAAACATTTTTTTATTCGCATCTTCAACTTTAACAAAAAAATTAAATACATATGTATGTAAGTTTTCAAAAAGGATAATTATAAATAGGTATAAACAAAATATTTTTCAATTCCATTAAATTTAAAGGAAATTTTCTAAAAAGGATTTTTTGCTCCTTTTCCACCAATTTCTTTTAATTTTAAATTATTAAAAATATTTTTGGATATTCTGTTGTTTTTCCATTTTCCATTTGGGATTTAAAAATAAAATAAATTTTGTTGATTTATTCGGATTTGTCGAATTTATCCGAATATATATTCCACTAATTTTGCTTCAATTCCATTTAATTTTATAAAACTTTCTACATTTGTATAATAAATGTTAAACTCCAGGATAAGTTGTTTGTGCAATGTCATTTGAATTTAAATAGGTAATCTTCATTTTCATCTCCTATATTTATTTAAATTAACCCATTAAAAACAGGTCTAATTTTAACAAGTGCCTTAAATTTTATAAATTATTTTTTAGAAAACAAAATTTTTATTTTTTGCCCATACTTACAGACCAGAGCTGTTTATACAGCTCTGGTCTGGGGCCAATAACAATTAATAAGAATTTTTAAAACAGATATGTTATTTGAAATTTAAAGTGAAAGTCAAGAGGCGACATTAATTAATATATTCTATTTATTTATTATATGTACATACTTCATTTTTGTTTCATTTTTAAAACAGATATCCAATCCATGGCAACCTTTCATTTAAATAAAAATTATTTTTTATTTAAATTAATAATATCTTTTTTTTTGTATAAATTTTGTTATTATCAAATATTCCATAACTACAAAAACTAAATTTATCTTTAAAACTTCTTTTCTATGAAGGCACTAAATAAAGTTTATCTTCTTTATTTAATATTCCATTAATTTTAATTTCAACTTTCACTAAATTTTTTTTATTAAAATTAACTAAAATTCTTAATTTTCCTTCATTTCCTTTAGTTGGAATTTCCTTGAAGTTTTAATTCTTTGGATTCAAGAAAAATAAGATTCGGGATTCGAGTACCCCCCCCCCTAATTCGTGTCCGGACAATGCGTCAGTGGACAATGCGTGAGTGGAAAATGCGTCAGTGGACAATCGGTCAGTGATGATATAAAGTGATTAAAAGTGATGATATAAAGAGATAAAAAATTATTCGTTGTCTTTAATAAATTCAATATTTATTAAATTAATTATAATTTGTTATTTTTTTGTATATCCAATATGAATATTTGGATTATTGCAAATATCATTTGGATTAATTAAATTAAATAATATAAAAACTAAATAAATATCTATTTTTAAATCCATTTTTGAAATAATTATTTTTATTAAAATTTATATTAATAGATTTTTTATTAATAACTTTTCCGTTCTGCCCCACCCCCTAAATTACCTAATACTTAACATGTCATATATACATAGGGTAATAAAGGGTGCTGAGTCAAATGGTACCACTATTTTTTCCAGAGATGCCTGTGGACCAGGGGTGGGCCGAGTCCCAATAAATACGAAGCACGAGATTCACGAGATACGAGATTCTCAAAAAAATACGAGAACGAGATCGAGATTTCACAAAATACGAGACACGAGATATTATAGAAAATATAAGGGTTTGGATGGATAATGATTTCAGGTGGATTATGAATGGTATTGGGGATTTAGAGGCTGAAAGGATTTATTAAGTATCGCAGATTACGGAGAATATCATGGGATTCAAAAGGATCCACGTTTGCCTATCCATCTAATTAACGTTTTTAATTCTCTCTGGTGATTTGAAGGATATCAAGTTATGTAAAGGCTCACTCTGAACCCAGATCCTGATTAACCGGTATCACTTTTATATCACGCCATCCCTTCAAATCCAATTCCTAACAAATCCACCTATATCCCACATAATTCTTACTCCCTCTATTTCCTTTACAATCCAAATACCTTTACCACCAGTATCTGCATACATAAAAATCACTTTTTATATTAAAATTCTGAAATTCAGGTGGATCCTGTAAGATCTCAATCGAAATTCATGGATTCATAGATATCCCTCTGAATCTCCATATCTTTTTAAATTCACCTTAACCCCAGTAAATCACCGGATATTCTTCTATCCCTTCAGGTCCACCGATATTTCCCGCTTGTCCAACTTTATCCCTCTTCCTCTTTAGCGCCGAAGGCAAAATTCATGAGAATGTTGGAAGACATGAATGTTGGAAGACTTGAATGTTGGGAGCCATTTATAAGTATCTAGCCATTTATAAGTATAAGTATCTAGCCATTTATAAGTATCATTTCTATTCTTCCTAATTATCACCTAATTATTTTATCTTTCCCAAAATTGATTCTGTAAATCTCTAGCCATTTATAAGTATCATTTCTATTCTTCCTAATTATCACCTAATTATTTTATCTTTCCCAAAATTGATTCTGTAAATCTCTAGCCATTTATAAGTATCATTTCTATTCTTCCTAATTATCACCTAATTATTTTATCTTTCCCAAAATTGATTCTGTAAATCTCTAGCCATTTATAAGTATCATTTCTATTCTTCCTAATTATCACCTAATTATTTTATCTTTCCCAAAATTGATTCTGTAAATCTCTAGCCATTTATAAGTATCATTTCTATTCTTCCTAATTATCACCTAATTATTTTATCTTTCCCAAAATTGATTCTGTAAATCTCTAGCCATTTATAAGTATCATTTCTATTCTTCCTAATTATCACCTAATTATTTTATCTTTCCCAAAATTGATTCTGTAAATCTCTAGCCATTTATAAGTATCATTTCTATTCTTCCTAATTATCACCTAATTATTTTATCTTTCCCAAAATTGATTCTGTAAATCTCTAGCCATTTATAAGTATCATTTCTATTCTTCCTAATTATCACCTAATTATTTTATCTTTCCCAAAATTGATTCTGTAAATCTCTAGCCATTTATAAGTATCATTTCTATTCTTCCTAATTATCACCTAATTATTTTATCTTTCCCAAAATTGATTCTGTAAATCTCTAGCCATTTATAAGTATCATTTCTATTCTTCCTAATTATCACCTAATTATTTTATCTTTCCCAAAATTGATTCTGTAAATCTCTAGCCATTTATAAGTATCATTTCTATTCTTCCTAATTATCACCTAATTATTTTATCTTTCCCAAAATTGATTCTGTAAATCTCTAGCCATTTATAAGTATCATTTCTATTCTTCCTAATTATCACCTAATTATTTTATCTTTCCCAAAATTGATTCTGTAAATCTCTAGCCATTTATAAGTATCATTTCTATTCTTCCTAATTATCACCTAATTATTTTATCTTTCCCAAAATTGATTCTGTAAATCTCTAGCCATTTATAAGTATCATTTCTATTCTTCCTAATTATCACCTAATTATTTTATCTTTCCCAAAATTGATTCTGTAAATCTCTAGCCATTTATAAGTATCATTTCTATTCTTCCTAATTATCACCTAATTATTTTATCTTTCCCAAAATTGATTCTGTAAATCTCTAGCCATTTATAAGTATCATTTCTATTCTTCCTAATTATCACCTAATTATTTTATCTTTCCCAAAATTGATTCTGTAAATCTCTAGCCATTTATAAGTATCATTTCTATTCTTCCTAATTATCACCTAATTATTTTATCTTTCCCAAAATTGATTCTGTAAATCTCTAGCCATTTATAAGTATCATTTCTATTCTTCCTAATTATCACCTAATTATTTTATCTTTCCCAAAATTGATTCTATAAATCTC